TCTCTTGCTCCTATTTAAAAAAACAAAGTTTATTGTAAAGACGTCACTCTCACTCATTAGGATCATCTTTGGGTGCTTCTGTGCTAAATGGTGAGCTTTGTAGTAAAGAACACATGACCCACAAATTTCCTCCCTGAGGAAACTGGTCAACTTCAGGCTTACAGGATGGCTCAGCAGGTAAGGTGCTTGCCACACAAGCCTGATGATGTAGGTCCTGTGTGGAAGGAGGGAACTGACTCTTGAAAATTCTTAGACCGCCACACTCATATTATCAGTGTGTAGGGCACAGGAGTCTCCCAGCCCCCACCTGTGTCCTACACAACTTAGTAGTAAGTTTCTTCTAAGTATTTCCATGTTGGGTACCCCCTGTTCCCATCTGCCTGAGGTTATCCTAGGACTTGCCCTCTTGCCTTTGACTTCTCTATTCAATCGCTATGTCTTTAGCATCTACTTCATAAGTACTTCTAGAATGTGGCCTCTCCTATGGTAGCCACTGTCATTACTTCATCAGTTTTTGTCAACTACAACTACTCATTAACCCTTCATTAACACTCATTCCACAGTAGCCTGCTGATTTTTCCTCAGGCATTTTTATGGTGAAAGAACAAAACTGGTGCACGTCTATGCAGCTTACCACCCTTCCTGTACCCCAACTCTTACCTCCTGGTGCACGTCTATGCAGCTTACCACCCTTCCTGTACCCCAACTCTTACCTCCTGGTGCACTTCCATGCAGCTTACTACCCTTCCTGTACCCCAACTCTTACCTCCTGGTGCACTTCTATGTAGCTTACCACCCTTCCTGTACCCCAAGTCTTACCTCTTGGTGCACTTCCTTGCCCTTCCTGTATCCTGTACCCCAAGCCTTACCTCCTGATGCTGAGACCAGAGACCTCAGAAGTTCCTTGGCTCTTCTTACCACCCTCTCTGTTGGCTTGTCTCCTAGATCTTCATATACTGTCCCCTCTGCCAAGGACATCTCAGGTTCCTTGCCAGCCCCTCTTCCTGCAGCTCTGCCTCCAGATGGATCGTGCTGAGCTCTACAACTGAAGTGATCTTTCCAAAGCATAGATGTAACCAGGGCTGCTGCTTGAGGCCTCCTGTACCTTCCTATAGGCCTTCGTGAGAGAGTTCAGGATCCTGGGCCAGCTTCCTCAGGTCCACACAATCTAATCCTTCTCTCTACCCTCTTCCCAGTCCCTCTAGATCAGTGCTTTGGTTCATACTGACTTAAGGGAATGAAAACGGATTGAAAAGGAACTGCCAGGGAAGAAGGAAGGCTGCAGAGTGTATCCAGGAGGAGGAGGGAATGCTGTATACCGCCCAGGAAAGTTCTGGGGTAGAAGTCAATGTATCAAACAGGGAAGCCCCTTTCACTGCAACACTGCAGGGCAGTGGGGCCAACATCCCCAGTTGGTAGATAGGGAAAGTGAGGTTCAGAGTGGGGAAGTGATAAACTCAAAATCACATAGCATTTAAGAGAGTGATAGAGTTGGGTCCAGGGACCAGAAGTCTTGAGCTATCTATGTGAGAGTCTATCAGACCTGGGTTCACCGTATACATGTGATTCCAGCAGCAGCATCAATGCCCTGGCTGTGACAGACCAAAGGGAATTAACTCATGGTCATGTCAGTAGTCAAGCCTCCATATCCCTCAGGGTATCACTCAGCTCATGCAAAACGTGGGGAGCTGTAGCTCCACTTAGCACAGGACTCGGGACACCTGTTACTCATAAGACAGCAACTGAGTATCATGGCTGGGCCCAGAGTGCTGAGGTCAGATGGCTTAAGGAACAGACATCAGGCAGGTTTCCATTTGTGGATGTGTGAGGTAATTCCATTGGTCAATGTAGTCCTTGACAGATGCTGAGAAACGGATTGTGTGCACCTTGTACCCTAGTGAGAAAGACAGAAGCCAACGGGGAGCTTGGAATCGGAACTGAATCTCCATGAATAGTGGGGCTAGCCAAAGAGACTGGGGCTTCACTGTGGAGCTATACTGCTTAGAATAAAACCCCAGTGGCGCTCCCCCAGGGCAGTCTTCACTTCTCTACACTTTCAGCTTGTAAGATACAGGAAGGCACAAGAGGACAAGGGGAGCCTAGGCATGTGATAAAGGAAGCTGCCACCAGGAAGCCTGCAGACAGGAAGCTAGAAGTGGGAAGGCTGCTGGGTTTTGCTGTGGACCACAAATGATACAGCTCTGATACCAGCCAAGGCCCCATGCCATGTACTTTCCCAAGATTCCTGCACAGCAACCTCATGGGACTTGCAGATCCCTGACCCCTTGACTTCCTTTGCCTGCCTCAGACCCTTTGCCTGAGCAAAACACCTGTGCCTGCAGCTGCTCTGAGCACGAGACCCTGATGGCAGGGGAGTGGATTCTGATGAGGCCTGCAGCTGAAAAATCCCAAGAGCTGGGCATGGCTAAGGATGCCTATATAAAGTTTCCCTGGAGCACAATAAACTTGGCATTCTTGTATCAAGGATGAGCCGTATCTGTGTGTGTCTCTCTCTGTCTGTCTCTGTGTTTTTAAGTCTCCAGGCCCAGTTTCCGGCTCGCATACCAACCTGTGGTGGCACAGGCGCTACAGGCGCAGTACCGTAGGGTGGACGTGCTTTACACCATAATCTCTGAACCTCAGCATCTGCTGGCAAAGATCTGTCACATCTCTAAGTTCTTGTCCCTAGCGTGATCTAACACAGGGTTCAGGGCCTTCTTCTCCATACATCCCAGGATGCAAAGTTGCATAAAGCCCCAGGGCACAAAGCAAATCGAATCTTCCAGAATGTATATGAAAGTAGAAGGGTTTCTACCATGGCCACCTGTATTTTAATATTTGTATTTTAATAGTTTGCCTGAAGATCAGAATGCAAGACAGCCATACTAGTCAGCCATACAGGCCATTTAATAGTGGCACACACCTTTAATCCCGGAAGCCACACTAGTTAGCCATAGAGGCCAAGTGGTTGTAGTGCATGTCTTTAATCCCAGCACTAGAGAGGAATATAATGTGGGATGAGACAGCAAGTTGCTCTCTTTCAATCTGAAGATTTCATGGAGGTAAGAGCTCTCTAGTGGCTCGGCTGCCTTGCTTTTCTGATCTTCAGGTTGAACCCCAATACCTGTCTCTGGGTTTTTAATATTTATGCTACAGCCTCCTACATGGGAGGAGATTGACCATGAATTAGATTTCCTATCTCCAACAGTTCTGTCACCCTCCATGTCCTCATCAATTTCCTTCCTGCTTAATTCGAACACTCTAGGGCAGTTCCTAATGCTGTGACTCTTAATATACTTCTTCATGCTGTAGTGACTGTCAAACATAAAATTATTTCCCTGCTACTTCATAACTGTAATCTGGCCACTATTATGAATCATAATGTAAATATCTGTGGCCCCCAGGTTGAGAACACCACTCTAGGTTCTCTCCACTCTGACAAACAACTCAAGGCTCCCCCTCATACTGAGAAGTCTCAGCAATAGCCAATCAGTTCCAGGTTCTACCAGTTCTCACCCAGCAGGTTCTTTAGGGAAGGAGGGTGCAAAGATTTCTCCCTTCCTCCTTATGAACCATATCGCTGTGAACTGTTTGAAGTATCATGAATTGTTTTCCCGATCCTGCTGTGGAACTAGAAGGTACAGAGGTTGCAGGAACGTGGAAGGAGACCTCACAATCTAGAGTTCAGATTTTCTGAGAAAAGAATCACAGGAATGAAAAGCTGGGAGTGGGCACTTTGTGGACACACACACACATGCACACACAGGCCAGAAGCCAAAACTGGGTGTCTAACCACTCTCCACATTGGTTTTTGAGACAGTGTCTCAGTGAACCTGGACCTTACCCATGGCCAGGCTCTGCCTGTCTCAGCCCATCAGTGCTAGGATCACAGCTCTGTCTGCCATGCCTAGCATTTCAGGTGTGTGCTGGGGACTGAAATCAGGTTCCCATGCCTGTGCAGTCAGCACCAGACCCACCAAGCCATCTCTCCAACTCCCTCAACTTCTGCAAACTTTGCTATGGTGAAAGATGTTTTGTAGGCTCTGCCCAGGATCTTTTGGAGCTTGTAACACTGACTTTCCCAACCACAAACCTACTGAGAAGCGACTTGTTTCTTTCTTCCCAAAGGGGTACAAGTGGGGATGGGATGGGGACTCCACAGCTGAACCTGCAAATGAAGTCCTTCCTTCCCAGACTTATTGGGAAAGCAAGCTTCAGGAAGCACAAACCAAGCATACAGGAAGAACCTAGAATCCATCCTGGCTCCTACACACCAGGAACAGGACGCAGGGCTGGAAAATGCAGATTATATTCACAAGAGGCCAATAGCTCAGCCACCTGCCTCAGCCCCCAGCATCCCTCTCACCCCACACTCCAGACTGGACTAGTTTGCTCTGCAGCTGACAGACTTTCCTATCCTCTTGCCTCCACCTCCAAAGTGCTAAAATGACAAATGATTTATATGGCGGTAGGAATTTAACCCAGGGTTTCATGAATGCTAAGCAAGCATTCTACCAACTGGGACACCCACATCTTTAGCTTAAACACTTAACATTTCAGAAAGGGTGAAAAGCTGAGGCCACCCAATAAGAGGTGACTGGTATAAGCAAGTCCCTCAAACCACGTAAGTGCCCAGGCCCCTCCTCTGAAGACCTCCAACTGCTAGATTCCACCCACCCACAGGACACTTTAAGTGCTGGTCCCAGTCTCCACCCTACAGAGTAAAAAGTCCAGTGAAATCCCACCAATCCCCCTCCATGAGAAAGGCTATATGAGCCTGTATCCTGCTGAGTGTGCTGCTGTTTCTCACCTGAGCGGAGGCAGTCACCCTCCTGTTTCTTTTCCCCTCCCAATAAATTTCTTTGTGTGAGGTTTGTTGTGTGGTGTGACTTTGTGGTATTCTGTGATTCCCAACTGCCAGGATACTTTCCCATCCAAACCATAATGCTTACAACGGGACTGGTTTTTCATTCAGCCCCCCAAAACAAAAGCACTCATTATAGGTGCTTGCTCATAAAGTTTATTGACAACTGTTTGGTCCCAACACACAAACAGCACTTGAACCACGGGGGGGGGGGGGAGTTCAAACAAAGTAGACAGTTGAGGAAAACATCTTGTCCCCGAAGTCTGATCAAAAGCAAACAGTGCAGGGTGGGAAAGGGGATTTTGGTGGTAACTTTTTTCTTCTTAACAGATAAATCTAATCTGGTACATCTTTCCACCCAGAGTGTCTTGTCATCTCCATACATCACAGCAGCAGCATCTAAGCCTCTGGAGAAAGAAATAGTGACTGGATGGTCACTGGAGGTTGGCATATCACAGACTCAATGAGCTTCCACATCTTTAAGCAGCAGTGGTTCGTTACACGCATCCCAGACGCATGGGCAACTCCAGCAAATGGCAAAGAAACGCCCATTTACTGTGCACAATTATTCTTTGCTGCCCACAGAACAAACTGATGGCTGAGATGGCTCCAAGTGACTTTAGTGACACCTGGTGTTTTCAAAGTACCTAATCCCTTCTACACTTGCAAACCTGAAGTTTGAGCAGGCGAGCTTACCCTTAGGATGTCTGTGATTAAGGCAGCCCATGTTCTCAACACTAACTTTATTACATTGCTTAAAAGCCTTAAAGAAATTGCACATGTGCCGTTGTACTTCCGTGTGCTAGATCTGCAGTGCAAGTGTTGCCAGGCCAGGCCCGCACGGAAGTACCTTGAGGCTTTGCACAGAGTGTGGCAAGCCTGTAGAGAGCGTTTCTAGTGCAGCTCCATTTTGTACTGAGAACTGGGAATCACTGGCTTCATTTAAAAGATTTTGGCAACAAAAATCCAATTGGTTTTAAAAAAAAAATCTCTCCAGAGCTTTTAATTTTGTGACATTTTATCAAACTGCTGGTTATGAAATCAGAATCCATTTTCTGGCTTTCTAGAAAAAAACAAAATATGAACATTTCCCACCAAAGAAACGATCTAACTAGAGGAAGACTGTTGCCAACAGGTTCTTTCTGTTCTATGAATGGATCCGCCTTTTTTGCCCAACAAATACAATCCATTGTAAATGTCAGGTCTCTCCAGAAGGGGTGAGAGGCCACTCATGAGCGGACACCTCAGGCACCCAGAGAGAAGGTCATTCCGCAGGGCGGTGCCCACAAAGGCTGGCTTTTCCCAAATGCCAACATCAGACACCACAAAAAAAAAAAAAAAAAAAAAAAAGCTTCCAATAGCGAGAAGTAACAGTAAAACCAGACACTATTAAAAGACAAGACAAACTAACATGGACACACATCTTCACATCGAGAGCTTCCCAGCTTTACAGCTGACTTTAAAATTACAAAAACAAGGTTAGGCTGATCAACCTTGGCCTTCACATTATAGATAGAACTCCAGTCTCTTTCTAGAGGAGATAGTATCAACTCCACTCCTTTTGAAGCACCTCACTACTCGGCTGATTTACAATTTATGCATCTGATGCATAGTTTAAAAAAATCAGACTCTTTCCAACACCACCTCTCAACACATAGTAATGTGTGCCGTCACTCAAATGCTGACTTTAAATGCATGACACCAAGACCATCTCCTTTCCTAAACCTGATCCTTAGCAAACTGGAACAGAAAAGGGAAGCATGAAACAATTTTCTAGAAAGCTCCTAAATGGAATTCTCAAATGGAAACATTAAAAAAAAAAAATTGGGATGAAGCCACACTGGTCAACCACAGACATAGTAAAATAAAAAACAAGGCACACCAAGAAGTCACCTGGAAACCAGGAACCTTCCTATGTCAGCCTGAAAATGGCTCTCCTACCACTCATTCGTCCCCGTGTGTGTGACCCACAGGTTCCTGGACATGCTTGGCTTCTCCAACAACCACAAGGCCATTTGCTTAAGCAGAGGACAGAGGCTGCTCAGTGGGAGTTAATCCACTTCCTGCTGAGTAACTGCTGCTTACTCCCTCCCACCACATTTCACAATAGTTTAGAAACATTTGGTAAATATATTATGGATTCCTTAATGAAGGCCAGAGTTCTGTCAAATAACTTGGAAAAATAAAGAAAAAGTTCATCTGAAAGTTCAAAAGGAACATCACCCTACGGACTGTCTATAAAAATGGCTTCTGGGGTCAAGACAGAAAATGAGGTTTTTAAGCCCATTTTTGTGTGTAGAGTCAGTTTTTCCCATCCTAACGAAATTGTGTGTTCAAATGGGAGTTAAAGTTTGGTTATACGTGCAAAAGAAAAGTTGGCTGCCAATTTGACTCTATTTTTGGGCTGCTTTTTGGCTGGGCTTTCCACTGTGTCCTTGCTGAACAGTGGTTCATGGGCTTCCAAAGAGGGACTTGGAGGAGTGGGGACAGATGCTGGGCTGCAGGGCGAGCAGGAGTCGCAGGGCGGGAGCCCCCCCTTCTTCACTGGTGCTGGAATCTCAGCTTTTTCTTCTTGGCTTAAAACTACAGTTTCTAGAAAGACAGAAAAGTAAATAGAGTTAGTGCTAGGGCTCAGAAGATGTTCTGGTTTTCAGTTCCCCTGTATTTAAAACAGAACAAACAAACAAACAAAAACAAGTTTATAAAACCCTACCAGAACCAGGTGTGGTAGGTGGCTTGTTATTCTAGCCCTCAGGAAACTGAGGCAGGATTACCACAGGGCCGGCCAGCCTTGGCAACACGTCAAGACACTGTCTCAAAAAACAACAAAACAAGGTAGTCGTGGTGGAGCACACCTTTGATCCCAGCCCTCCAGAGGCAGAGGCAGGTGGATCTCTGAGTTTGAGGCCAGCCTGGTCTACAAATCAAGTTCCAGGACAGCCAGGGATACAGAGAAACCCTGTCTCGAGAAAACAAACAAACAAACAAAACAAAAATCAAAATGTCATACTTATGTTAATTTAGATATGGGCTACACAGTCAATAATATGTCACAAAAGTCTATTACTTATAAATGACAGATCACCTCTCTTTGGATTACAAATTTTAGATCATATTTAGCTCCCTATCAAAGGCTAATTTTTCTTCCTCAGACTCTTTACTCCTCTGTCTGGTGATCAAAGACTCTGAGGCCCCATTTGAACTTTCTGAGGCAACAGGGACTTTAGTGTGAGTGAGTGCCTGCTCATTCTTCTTACAGAGGCCACATGCTCACCTCAACATAGTGTTGATACCAGGGACAAGAGAGCCAAATGGAACCACGGTTACTTTAGAAGGTCACTTGTCTTAGAGCACAGGTAACCCACAGATAGTTAAACACTGCCTTAAAAAGACTAGAGCCTAGAGCAGAGAAGGAAGTATGGGCAGGAAAAGGAGGAGTTGGATTAAAGTGACAAAGAAGGGAAAGCCAAAGGTCTCTGAAGAGCATCGGGGACTCCTTGAAGAAGGCAGAACTGCAGACCGACAGTCAAGAGGCCTTAGTCACTTAACCTGTGGACTCCACGGCTTGCACAGTCAGAGTTCCACTGTTCAACACCCCAACACCTGATAAAGGTAAGAAAACTGAATGGACCTCACACCAGGTTGGCACTAAGTTAGGATGTTAAGAGGTCAGCTTTCAGCCAGGCGGTGGTGGCACACACCTTTAAACCCAGCACTCAGGAGGCAGAGGCGGGTGGATCTCTGTTGAGTTCAAAGTCAGCCTTGCCTACAAAACAAGTTCCAGGACAGGCAGAGTTGCAGCAAGACCCTGTTTTGAAAAAAATCAAAAAACCAAACACAAACAACAACAATTTTTTGTTCAGTTTTCTTGGCTTTCAGGTCACGGGATATAGAGTCCAGGGTCTCAAACCATAGGTGCCTTGCTCACACCAGCTTCCTAAAGCCCTAGTATCCACTGGACCCAAAGCAAAGGTTGTGTAGCAGGTGACAGGTGTTGCCTAAGGAACAGCTGAGCCTCAGACACGGTGGTAAGGTCAGAAGTACCAGAGGACCTGAGACAGGACTCATTACTCAAAGGCTCTTCCACAGCCCAGTGATACTGGCCCACAACTTCAGATAAGACCTGATTTATAAATCCTATTAGTCAAAACCCAAACAAGGAAAGGAAGAGCCTGAATAATCAGCACAAGTATTTTACAACAGTGTCATTTTCCCTTTGTCCACCAGACACCCTCTACACTGACCCAACATATACAGTGTAACCTACCCAGAAGCTCTTGAGGACGTTCTTCAAACTGAATGAGATCAGCGGGCTGCAGGATGACAGGATCTGGAGTTAGCTGAGGGGACGGCAGGCAGGAAGGGACAGGAGCACAGAGGAGGTCAACAGGGGAGCTGTTGGCCAAGTGCAGAAGCTCCTGCTCCATCTGGCTGGGCCCTGTAGAGAAGGCAAGCAACTGCATTAAGCAAGACACAAATGTCTGCTTCAGCCCCAAACGTCATCACGTAGGACTCAAGGACTCAGTGTGTGTGTGTGTGTGTGTGTGTGTGTGTGTGTGTGTGTATGTGTGTAAAATGAACAATAACAAAGTCACTATTGGAAAACAATATACCAAAGGCAACAGTCTGCTGAAGACTTGTGTTCTTAGGAACATTGGTCTCTCAAGAGGCCCAAAACGGAAAACGGCCTTTGGAGGAGAAACAAAGCTGCTGAAGGTTAGGGGCAGTGAAGGAGCCAGGGCAAGAAGCTTCAGCAATGTCAGATGCTGGAAATATCTTCTCTCTAAGCACAAGGCACAATAATCCTTCTATCTACTCATGATGTATGACGATCCCTCTCACATTTAATGGTGAAGTTAAGTCTACAGGATTCTGGAATGGCGTCTGTCAATACAGAGCTAGCTCTACATAAAGCCTGTGACTCAGTTACCTGGAGAGGCACTTTTGTACCACTATGTCACACCCCATGGTGTGCCTTGCCCTGAGTCCTTTTCCTCATGAAGGATGTGTGCTGCGTCCTTTCCAAATTTAGTCTATAGAGAACCCTGATAACCCAGCTCAGCATAGCCCACCTACCTTGGTACCTACTCACCCTGACCAGGATTTAGCAGACTTCTATTAGACTATCAGTACAAACTCACCCACCCTTCCACCCACCTCTGTGTACCCTTTCCTGGAACTGCCCCAGGTCTTCCGGGCTCAGCTCTCTTTCCTTCTGTCACCACAGTTTTAAACAGTCACTTTAGCAAACATCAAAAAAAAAAAAAAAAAAAAAAAAAAAACATGTGAATTGGGATATTCTTTAAGGACTGTACTTTAACCAATCATTCAATGCTACCTGTAGACTGTTGTTAACTACACACCAAACTGCATTACAAAAAAAAATGAATGTTTAGGTCTGGAGAGATTGTTCATCAGTTAAGAGCACTCTTGCAAAGGACCCGAATTTAGTTTCTAGCACCCACAAAGTGGCTCACAGCCATCCATAATTCCTGTTCTTCTGACCTCCTCAGTTACTAGGCAGGTGCACACATGGTACAGATGCATGCAGGCAAAATGCTGATACACATAAAAATGAAATACATCTAAGTTTTTAATGAATTCTTAACTTGATGAAATTGCCCACCATCCTCTTTCCTCCAGGTGACTCACCCCAATCCTCCTCCTGGAACTTTAAGGCTTTGCCTACTTTGTTGCTTTTCTTCCAGTACCTAGTACCTGTTCTGAGCTGGAGTTCTGATGCTACACAGGATTCTGGCACCTCCAGGATCTGCATGCTGACGGCAGGCTGGTCTTCATGACTGGCAGGGAACAGACCAAGGGAGCTTACCCGATCTACAAGAAAAGAGCACTAATCAGAGAGAAAGGTCAGTGAAAGAGTCACAATGGAGTCAGGGGAGGGTAATGGGGCTTACTTACTTTTCATGTCATTTTTTAATACTACAATTCTCTTATGACCATGTCCTTTAATCCAGACCACCTATGCAAAAACATACACCCAGTTAAATAGTGGAAAGGAGGAGAAAAACACCCTAACATTCAGGAGAGTGGGGCTCCGGTGCTGCTTCTCACACTCAGAACTCAGTGAATGCCAACAGGTTTTCTATGTGCTTTCTTTAGCTTCACAAATAGCAGGTGGAACTCCTGCACTCCTACCAAAGCTGAGCAATCAGAACTCACAAGACAGTAGTAAAAGTACTTGTAACTTCAATAATGTCTACTGTAGCTTTAGGACTTAAATCCTGAAACTTCCCACATCAGAGTACTTATTTACTCCCAGGCATTTTGTACCATTTCATCAGAGGCTGAGCACCCTCTGTCTCAAATGCTTTGAATCAGAGGGAGTTTGGATTTGGGAGTATTTGCATATACCTAATGAGATAATTTGGGATCTGGGTGCACTTACTAGAAATTCATCTGTATCACATAAGCACTTTAGATGCATTTTCAAACGTGTTTTGATGTAATTCATCAAGGTAGTCAACTGTGGTGTCATGTTACTTCCAGAAGTTTTGAAATATTGTGGGTTAGAATTTGACTACAAGTGCTCACATGTATTTTTAACTCAGCTCAACTCCTTCACTGACACCTTCTGAGGTCTGGGCAACAGTCAGGACCCTGCATGAGCTCCCTCCTCCACTCCAATTTCCCTTAGCTCTTCCGGAGACAGCAGGGATGTTTTCCAAAGGCAAAGCTAGGCTTCCCTGCCTTCTCCATAGCAAAGGGAAGCTCTTACCTGGAGGAGCAAGGCCCTCAGAACAGTTCCTACCCTAGCAGAGGCTCTACCATGCTTGCGTTCCTTCATTTTTCTTCTTTTGCAGCACTGAGAATCAACCCAAAGTCTTGCCATGCAGCTGGACAAGCACTCTCACAGCAGTCTCACCTCCTCTCACATTGCGTGCCCCAACCGACCATGGTGGATTATGCATGGTCCTTGCCACATGGTAACTCATCTGTGATGCTGCCCCTCCAGGATCCCCATGTTCATCAAATGGGCCCTGCCTGGGCCACTGTCCATACTTACTGAGCAGAGAGGAGGGCATGGCTATGCTGCTCTAGCCACATTCTACTTAGGACATCTGCTTTAGTGTCCTATTCGGTTAGGAGACCACTGAGCACATTTCTGAGGGGAAGGCCTGCAACTTACTTACCTGGCACACAGGAATAAAGGTTTGCAAAAGCCACTGAGAAACACTAGCATCATTCATCTTATCTGGCAGCACTCTGGCAGCACCTGACATCTCTGACCTTCAGGAAGACGCCTACCTGTGGGATGGCTCCCAGTAGCTCCTCCACACTATTGTAGCCATATGTTTTGGGCTGCAGTGTTTCTCCAACATACTTGGTATAGGCCATGGAAAATTCATGAAGGAAAATCTGCTGGTAGTGATAGGTGTGAAGCAAAGACCGTACATTCTTTGCAAACAAGTATAGGCTTGTGAGCTTCACATACTCTTCTGCCTTATCATTCATAAACACCTGGCCCAGAAGAAAGAAAGAGAAGGATTAGAAATTTCCTGAGTGACCGGTCCTATCCCCTCTGGTTAAGGGCCTTCTGCCAAGAAAACTCTGAAGGCCCCAAATCAACTTGGTTTCTCAAAGAACTTTAGGAGGGGTTCACAGAAGAGTCTTACAGAGCCCTAGGAGGGGTTCATGCAAGGTCTTCCAGGGAGGCTAAACAACTCAGAGCAATTTGGTTTCTCTGTAATGTAATCCTGACAAGTTTAAAGAAACTGTGTGAGCAAGGAAAGAAAGCAGGGAACCTGCAGTCTCAAAGCAAGCACACAGGAAAGGTGGGGCAACCCCGATAGACACACACAGTGGCTATGGCCACTAGATCTCATCTCCCTGAAATAATGTGAGGCAGAACAGTGGCTATTCCTGCAAACACCCATGTCTTCTGGCACCCAGCTTTTGAAATTGTGTGTGGAGACTGAAAAAAATCTGGAAGTATAAAAATGTTTCTGAATCCCAACAATCAAAAATTAGTTGGAAAACCAAACTCCTAATGAACCCAAGGCATTTCTGTAGCAATTTTCAACACTATCTCACCTCAGCATTACACATATTGTCATGCCATGCAACACCAACAAATTCTGCCTGAATGACCTCAGTCAGATTTGCATCTACAATATGCTATTAATGCAGCATTTTTACTACTCACACCAATCTGCTGTTATTTAACTCTGAAAAACATTGAAGATGCTCTAGGTCCTACAGTTTCAATATTCAGCCAAGATTCTTTTACATGAAAGCAAAAGTACATCTACCTCAGTATGCAAGTCTCTGTTCTTCTTTTGTAAATGGTAAAACTGCACGCATACCATTTAATCTTTTAAAAACAAATTTTCTTATTGTTTATCATCAAACAAATACTTGCTTTGTACACCTATTTGATATAGTGATATACCCAGTGTTGCATAAAAAGTTACTGAGAAAAAGGAGGGTTGAATGGGGAAAAACTTAAGCAGCGCTGTTCTACTCCATCAGATGTGCAATCATCACCAAGAGAAGGGGCATCTCCCGTGTCACCGAGCATGACAAGCTGTTTATCCTAAAGGTCTGATAGCACTACTTAGATTGTTAGAATGTAATTAACAGTAAAAACAGTAAAATGCCAGACTTGGGGCTGGGCTGTTAGCTTAGCAGAACACTTATTTAGTGTGAGTGAGGCCCTGAGTTAAGTTCCTAGGACTATAGAAACAAGAACTTGAATTCTTTTCATTATTTGTCCAGCACATGGTCACATGATGATAATTTATCTTTCATTCCCTCCACGGCTGGATTTTATCCACTGACATCTTCTATAGAATCATTTTCTTTTAAAAGACTATATTAAACCAGGTGTGGTGGCACATGCCTTTAATCCCAGCACTTGGGAAGCAGAGGCAGGTGGGTTAATCGCTGAGTACAAGGCCAGGCTAGTCTACAAAGTGATTTCCAGGACAGTCAGGGGCTACACAGTGAATCCCTGTCTCGGTGAAAAATGAGAGAGAGAGAGAGAGAGAGAGAGAGAGAGAGAGAGAGAGAGAGAGAACATTAAGATTAAAATAAAAATAAATGATGTGCTAGGGTCATACCTCAGTGAGTGGCAAGATGCTTTTTTGGCATGCATGAGGCCTGGGGTTTGATTCCCAACACAACAAACCAGTAAAAGCAATTTAAAAAAAAAAGTAAATTATACCCTTTATCACATTTCTTTTCATGCCCTAGAATGTTCTGTTTTCTTTTTAAAGTTTAAGTTGGAACTGGAAAGATGGTTCAGCAGTAACAGTAACAGTAACAGCAACAGTAACAGTAACAGCAACAGCAACAGTAACAGTAACAGTAACAGCTCTTCCAGAGGACCTGGATTTGGTTCCCAGCACCTACATGGCAGTTCACAATCATCTGTAACTCCAGTTCCAGAGGATTCAACACCCTCTTCTAGCCTCCAGGGGCAACCAGATGCACATACAGTGTGCATACATACAAAACACTCAAGATACATAACATTTTTTTAAAATCATTTTTTAAAAGCCTGAAAGTTAGACAGGAACCAGAAACCTCTGCAGGTCAGGGTATGAGTCTGGGCCCTCTGAAGGAGTAGGCCTGAGCCAGGTTCTTTGTGGGTCTGGGTGCACCTGAGTTTGGGACCTCTACTGATCAGAGCCAGACCAACCCCAAGCCAGGGACTGCCGGAGCAGATTCAGACCAGGGACGTTTACAGACACAGGTCAGAGCTGACAACCTAGACCAGAGCAGGCCTGAGACAGGAAATTCCATGGGAGTGGAATAAAGTCCGGGAGTGCTGAGCAACCTCCAGGAACACGGAGTGACCAACAGGGTAAATAGAACCGTGGCATTGACTGCACCACGAGGAACAACCATCTGAACCTTGGATCCACTGGCACCTAGACGATTAATCACCAGAGTCACAAACAGTCCCAACCACATCAATTAGAGGAAAAGATGAGTAGACAAGGTAAGAACACATGCAACACCACAAAGAGCAACACGACACCAGTAAAATCTAGAGACCCTACAACAGCAAGACTTGGACAACCACATAGAGTAGAAGCAGAAGAAAATGACCTAAAAAGTAACTTCAGGTGAATGTTTGAAACTCTTAAAGAGGAAATGAAAAATTCCCTCAAAGAAATGGAGGAAAAGACAAACAAAAAATTGGAAGACATCAACAAATCCCTTAAAGAAAACCAAGAAAAAGCAGTCGAACATATGAAAGAAACTATTCAAGACTTGAAAACTGAAATAGAGACAATAAAGAAAACACAAGCTGAGGGAATTATAGAAACAGAAATTGTGAGAAAAATGATCAGGAACCACAAACAGCAGAATACAAGAAATGAAAGAGAGAAAGAACCTCAAGCGCTGAGGATACTATAGAGGAAATAGACTCATCAGTCAAAGAAATCATTAACTCTCACAAAAGCTTAACACAAAATATACAGGAAATAGGAACAGAAGGAGAAGTTGTTCAACTCAAAAGCACAGAAAGTATCTTTAACAAATCATAAAAGAAAACTTTCCCAACCTAAAGAAAGATATGCCTAGGAAGATACAAGAAGCATACAGAACACCAAACAGAATGGATCAAAAAAAAAGTCCCCTTGCCACATAATAATTAAAACACTAAACATACAGAATATAGTAAGAATATCAAGAGCAACAAAGAAAAAGGCCAAGTAACATATAAAGGCAGACCTATTAGAATTACACCTGACTTCTCATGAGACAATGAAAGCCAGAAGGTTGTGGTCAAGTGTTATGCAGACATTAAGAGACCGCAGATACCAGCACAGAATATTATACCAAGCAAAACTTTCAATCACCACAGACGGACAAAACAAGATATTCTATGACAAAACCAGATTTAACCAATACCTAGCCACAAACCCAGCTGTACACAAAAAATACTAGAAAGGAAAACTCCAACACCAACAAAAACACGACATTTGATGATCTCACAGCAGCAAATCACAAAGTAGGGCAAAACACACAAATTAGCATCACCAACAATAAAAACTAAATTAACAGGAGATAGCAATCACAGGTCGTTAATATCCCTTAATACAAATGGACTCAACTCACCTATAAAATGACACAGGTATACAAGAAACACATCTCAACCTCAAAGACAGACATCGTCTCAGAGTAAAGAGTTGGGAAAAATTTTCCAATCAAATTAACCTAAGAAACAAGCTGGTGTAACTATCTACTTTCTAACAAAATAGACTTCAAACTATAATCAATCAAAAGAGACAAAGAAGGACATTTCATATTAGTCACAGTAAAAATCCATTAGAAGGAAATCTCAATACTGAACATCTATGCCCCAAATACAAGGGCACCCTCGTATGTAAAAGAAACACTTCTAAAGCTTAAATCACATTAAACCCCACACACTAATAGTGGAAAACTTCAACACTCCACTCTCACCACCGGACAGGTCAGTCAGACACAAAATTAACAGAGAAATAAGGGAACTAACAGATGTTATGACTCAAATGGACTTAACAGACATCTATAGAATATTCTATCCAAACAGAAAAGAATATACCTTCTTCTCAGCACCTCATGGAACCTTCTTAAAAACTGACCACATACTCGGTAATAAAACAAACCTCAAAAAATACCAAAAAAAAAAAAAAAATGGGATAGCCCCATGTATCTTATCAGATCACCATGGCTTAAAATTGGAATTCAACAGCAATACTAATTCCAGAAAACCCACAAACACATGGAAATTAAACAATGCTCACCTGAATCATCAATGGGTCAAGGAAGAAATAAAGGGAGAAATTAAAGACTTCCTAAAATTCAATGAAAATAATCACACAAAATATCCAAATTTATTGGACACAATGAAAACAATGTTAAAAGGAAAGTTCATAACACTAAATGCCTACATAAAGACACTGGAAAAGTCTCTCACCGTGAATTAACAGAACATCTGAAAACTTTAGACCAAAAAGAAGAAAACTCACCCAAGAGAACTAGACAAGAAATAATCAAATTGAGAGCTGAAATCAACAAAATAGAAACAAAGAAAACAATAAAAGACTCAATGAGACAAAGAGTTGGTTCTTCGAGAAAAATCAACAAAATGGACAAACCTTTATCCAAACTAACCAAAAGGCAGAGAGAGAATATTCAAATTAACAAAATCAGAAATGAAAAGGGGGACATAACAATAGACGTGGAGGAAAAACAGAGAATCACTAGGTCATATTTCAAAAACCTGTACTCCACAAAATTGGAAAACTTAAAAAAAATGGACAACTTTCTGGATAAATATCACTTACCAAAATTAAATCAAGACCAGAAAAACAAATTAAACAGACCTATAACTGCTGAAGAAATAGAAACAGTCATCAAAAGTCTCCCAACCAAAAACAAAAACAAAAACCAGAATCAGATGGTTTTAGCTCAGAATTCTACAAGACTTCAAAGAAGAACTAATCCCAATACTCCTCAAATTGTTCCACACAATAGAAACAAAAGGAACATTGCCAAACTCTTTATGAGGCTACAACTACCCTGATACCCAAACCACATAAATTACTAAGAAAGAATTACCGACCAATCTCACTCATGAACACTGATGCAAAAATACTCAATAAAATACTGGCAAACCGAATCCAAGAATAAATGGGAAAAATTATCCACTATGATCAAGTCGGCTTCATTCCAGAGACCCAAAGATGGTTCAACATATGAAAATCTGTCAACATAATCCACCATATAAACAAACTGAAAAATAAAAACCAAATGATCATTTCATTAGATACCAAAAAAGCTTTCGACCAAAGACAACATCCCTTCATGATAAAGGTCTTGGAGAGGGCAGGGATACAAGAATCATACCTAAACATAATAAAGGAAATATACAGCAAGCCAACAGCCAACATCAAAATAAATGGAGAGAAACTTCCAGCGATCCCACTGAAATAAGGAACAAGACAAGGTTGTCCACTCTCTCCAAATCTATTCAATATAGTTCTTGAGGTCCTAGCTAGAGCAATGAGACACCAAAAAGAGATCAAGGGGATACAAACAGGAAAAGAAGAAGTGAAACTCTGTTTGCTGATGGTATGATAGTTTACATAAGCAACCAAAAAAATTCTACCAAGAAACTTCTACAACTCAGAAACACTTTCAGTAATGTAGGATACAAGATTACTCAAAAAAAAAAAAAAATCAGTAGCCCTCCTGTACACAGATGATAAGTGGGCTGAGAAAGAAATCAGAGAAACATCACCCTTCACAACAGTTAAAAATAGCATAAAAGATATCTAACCAAACAAGTGAAAGACTTGTACGACAAGAACTTTAAGTCTTTGAAGAAAGAAAATTGAAGAAGACACCAGAAAATGAAAAGATCTCCCATGCTCTTGGGTAGGTAGAATTAACATAGTAAAATTGGCAATCTTACCAAAAGCAATCTACAGATTCAATGCAATGTCCATCAAAATTCCAGCAAAATTCTTCAAAGACCTCGAAAGAATGGTACTCAAATTCATATGGAAAAGCAAAAAACCCAGAATAGCCAAAACAATCCTATACAATAAAAGAACTTTTAAATGCATCACAATCCTTGACTTCAAACTCTACTACCGAGCTACAGTACTGAAAACAGCCTGGTATTGGCATAAAAACAGACAAGAGGACCAATGGAACCAAATCGAAGACCTGGATATTAATCCATACACTTCCAAACACCTGATGTTTGACAAAGACTCAAAAAACATAAAATGCAAAAGAGAAAGCATATTTAACAAATGGTGCTGGCATAACTGGATATCAACATGAAGAAGAATGAAAATAGATCCATATCTATCACCATACACAAAACTTAAGTCCAAATGGATCAAAGACCTCAAAATAAAGCCAGCCACAAGGAACCTCATAGACGAGAAAGTGGAAAGTACACTTGAAAGGATTGGCACAGGGAACCACTTCCTAAATATAACCCCAGTAGCACAGACACTGAAAGAAACAATTAGTAAGTGGGACTGCCTAAAACTGAAAAGCTTCTGTAAAGCAAAGGACACAGTCAACAAGACAAAACAACAGCCTACAGAATGGGAAAAGATCTTCACCACATCAGATGGAGGTCTGATCTCCAAAATATACAAAGAACTCAAGAAACTGGTCATCAAAAGAACATATAATTAAAAAAAAAAATGAAGTACAGACCAAAACAGAGAACTCTCAACAGAGAAATCTAAAATGGCTGAAATGCTCAACATCCTTAGTCATTAGAGAAATGCAAATCAAAACAACTCTGAGATTCCATCTTACACCTATAAAAATGACCAAGATCAAAAACACTGATGACAACTTATGCTGGAGAGGTTGTGGGGAAAAGGAACACTTCTACATTGCTGATGGGAATGCAAGCTGGTACAACCCCTTCTGATGTCAGTGTGGTGATTTCTCAGAAAATTAGGAAACAACCTTCCTCAAGACCCAGTAATACCACTTTTGGGTATATATTCAAAGGATGCTCAATCGTGCCTCAAGGACATGTGCTCAACTATGTTCATAACAGCTTTGTTTGTCATAGCCAGAACCTGGGAACAACCTAAATGCCCCTCGACCAAAGAATGGATAAGGAAAATGTGGTACATTTACACAATGGAGTACTACACAGCAGAAAAAAAATAATATCTTGATTTTTGCAGGAAAATGGATGGAGCTAGAAAACATTATTTTGTGTGAGGTAACCCAGACACAGAAAGACAATTATCACATGTACTCACTCATGGGTGGTTTTTAAACATAAAGCAAAGAAAACCAGCCTACAAACCATAATCCCAGAGAACCTAGACAACAATTAGGACACTAAGAGAAACTTATATAGATCTAATCTACATGGGAAGTAGAAAAAGATAAGATCTCCTGAGTAAATTGGGAGCATGGGGGACCTTGGGGAGGGTTGAAGGGCGAAGGGGAGAGGCAGGGAGGGGAGCAGAGAAAAATGTAGAGCTCAATAAATAACAATTAAAAAAACAAAAAAGCCTGAATGTTACCTGGGTTTTCCGCCCCAGGGTTAATGGAAAGACTTAAGGCTTTTTATTTTTAGTTTTTTACATTGTGTATGTGTGTTTGCATGTGTTCATAACTTCAAATGCTTCAGCAAGCATATAAAGTCAGAGGACAACCAGCAGGGGTCGGTTCTCTTCTACTCAGCAGATCTGAGGGATGGAACTCACAATAATTAGGTTTGCTAGAAGGTGCCTTTACTTACTGAGTTATCTGAAGACTGGTTGTTAACCAATTAGGTCTTGACACCTGTTATCAGTAGTGAAGTGTAAACAAGCTATGGTCTTTCTTGTGGTAACTGCTCTAGACTGACGTTCCTCTCTTTCTCTTTCTTTCTTCAAGACATGGTCTCTCTGTGTAGCCCTGGCTAGCTTCAAACTCACAGAGATCCACTTCCCTCTGCCTCCTAAGTGCTGGGAGTAAATGTATGCAACACCACTGCCTAGTTCCTTTCTTTTGTTTCTACATAGCCCTGGCTGTCCTGAAACTCAGAGATACCATCTGCAACTCCCAGTCCTAGACTAAAGGCATGGCCCCCATGGGCAGCTCCTCTGTTAACTGACTTTTTCTCGGATAAGAGCTCTATCACTTGTCCTGGGTTTTTCTATGTGCTGCCAAGTGGCAGAGTCTTCTCATTTGTTTTTTTTTTTTCCCAGCAACAAGAGCCATTTCTGAAAACGTGCCTAGAGCTGACCTTCCTTTTTAACCTCCACTGCTGTCACCTGAAACTGTCACATAGGCCAGTGAGGCATCAGCATCAGACTCTCTTCCTGACTTCCCCGCTCATTTTCAGCAGGGTTTCCTCACTTTCTGGGCCTCGGTACCTGAAAATAGTTATCCAACCACAGATAAGTGTACCTCTCATGCATCATCAAAGAAGCTTCTTTTGCAACAGATGGCAACCATTACAGAAGACTACAACTAATCCAAATGCAGAGAAAAAATGATAATGCAGTGCCTAGCTCCAACAGATCCAACTCCTACACCTAAGACTCAGGGAACATCACAAAAGAGGGGACAGAAAGATTCTAAGAACCAGAGGAACTAGAAGTCTGCTGAGATGTGTCTTCTAGAAATGACAGGCAAGGCACACCCACAAAATTCCATCAACAAGGCTACCTAAACAAGGACAACAAGGGATAAATTTCACAAGGCCCCCAACCCTAGGCAAAGAAGTACAGGCAACTAAGGAAAGCTGAAAAGTAGGAGACATAGCCTTTTCCAGGAAAAAGTCCCCTAACTGTTATCTAATACGAAGTGGTCAACCCTGATATCATACACACACAGGTAACATATAGACTGTGCAGGCCGTGTTTAATTTTAGGAACACACACACACACCAAACAACACTCACACACACAACCCAAACAAAGAAAAAGTGGCATGGAGAGACACTTCTGTTGGCACCAGGCATGCATTTGATCCAAGCAAACATTCATACACATAAAATAAAATAAACTGATCTAACAGTAAATAAGTAAACACAATTTTAAAAAAGAAATGAGGCCATGAATTTGAGAGAGAGCAAAGAGAGGATACTGATTTTATTTAAATTTCAAAAGATAAAAAATTACTGAAAGAAAGAAAGGAAGGAAGAAAGGAAGGAAGGAAGGAAGGAAGGAAGGAAGGAAGGAAGGAAGGAAGGAAGGAAGACAGCTAGCCAGCCAAGTTCAGGACCTCTAGTGTTCCTCCAGTTCTACACATACTAATGTAGACAGACCTAACAGGATTCCAGAAGTGCTAGGTGGAGAAGCTTCCAGTATGATGGCCTAAAGCCCTCGCACACACGTACCTCCACTAAGTAAGGCAGACTCTTCAGTAGCTCAGTCAAGGTCATGAATCCATATTCGCAGGGGTTGAGAGGAGTACTGTGGGTGGTTTCATAATGTCTCCTGAGCTCATCAACAGAAAGATAGGCATCTCCTTCCCAAGACATCAACAACACCAGCAACTGGGCAGTGAGAGACCGCAGAGACTTCCTGTTGATCAGCTGGATCTGTTTGCCAGACTCCAGGTCAGCAACCTAAGGAGAGGAGAATGCAAACCCACTTCAGATCATCTCATTCTTGCTAACAAGACCAACAGAGCGAGTGAGTCTCTTTGTGACAGCAGAACAACACTTGGAATGAGACTGGAGCAGAAACTGTTTTCGCCCTCCTTACAGTTTAGCCCATAAGCCCAAACTCCACGCTGCCACGGACCGCCTCTCGTGGAGGCACTCAGACCGAGGGAAAACAGGGTGAAGGTGAATTCTACCACTCCACCCACTCATCTTTCATGAAGTAAACTGGAAGACACTGTTGTGGTTCTCTCTTCCTTGATGTTTTCCTCAAACACAGACAGCAAGTGAGCTGACATGCCTTGGCCAAGCTACTGACAAGGCTGCTGATCACAGGGAGAACTACACTTTTCTGAGGCTCTACAACTAATTTTAACCCGATATTTTCTTCTGCTATGCATCTAATCAATCATTTCAGATTCTCAAAGAAATAAAGAACTTAAGGGAAGGAACCTGTGAAAGCTATATGGTATTGTCTGGACACCAAATACCAAGGCAGAGACAAGAGTTTGGTGATTGAGACCATTCATTCGCCTTGTTCAGGTGCAAGGACATGCCATAAATCTTAACTGTAGGTGGCAGAGCTCTGGGCACTCATACCATCAGCCAGTGAATCCAGTCTTCTTCCTTAGGCTTCTTTCCTGCTGGCTTTGCTTTCTCTACAAGGACCAAAGGGCTCACTGCCTACAGTTAAGACCTGAGGGATCACATGCTTATCCTCTTTAGGACTCTGGACTCAGCCCAGCATCAGCACATTCTGGACTGACTCTAGGAACACTGGCAGACTCCCACTCCCATTGTGGCAGCAGAGCTGTACACATTTCAGGCTTAGAAAGCAGGGTCTCAGGGGCTGGAGAGATAGCTCAGCAGTTAAGAGGACTTGGTCCTCTTACAAAGGATCTGGGTTCAGTTCCCAGCACCCATATAGGGAGGCACAACCACGTATAATTCCAGTTTTAGGTGATCCAATGTCATCTTCTGGCCTCCACAGGTATCGCACTGACATATACACACAGAATACAAGCAGGCAAGCACAAATACACATAAATAAACATAAATCTGTAAAAAAGAAACAAAAGAGAGAAAGGTGGCACTCAGTTAGCCAGGAGACACAAGCCCAGACCATTGGGCCGGGCAGTGGTGGTGCACGCCTTTAATCCCAGTACTCGGGAGGCAGAGGCAGGCGGATCTCTGTGAGTTTGAGGCCAGCCTGGTCTACAAAAGCTAGTTCCAGGACAAGCTCCAAAGCTACAGAAAAACCCTCTTTCGAAAAAAAATAAAAACAAACAAACAAAAAGAATCTCAGACTATTACTATTTTTTAAGAAAATCAAACAAAACTTTGTTTCTTTGATACTGCTAAAACCTATCTCTTGATCTTAATCATCTAGGACGTGGTTCAGAAATACTATAGCTTGGAGCACACCCAAGGTTCTTGCAGACTGCTTAGGAAGTCTAGTATTTCACTCAAGTTCCTCGTGAGGATTGCACTGGGTCTCTCACCTTTTCCTGACTTTGCTACTTGAATCAAACCTCTATTAATTAATCTTTGGCTCAGAGTACTGAGTTTTTGTTATTTTGAAACAGAGTCTCATATAGCCCAGACTGGCCTCTGCAGACAGCCAGGAGCAACCTTGAATTCATGATTCTTCTTGCTTCTACCCCCTTCTACATGGAATGGAAGACAAAAGCAATTCCACTGCTTAGTCCTTCTCATCCTTTGTTAAGGAATGGAATCCATCTCTAGGTGGAGACATGCCCTTAACTCCTCCCTTAGGAGTTAAGAAAAAGGCTGGAGAGATGATGGTTCCTTAGTTAAGAGCACTGGCTGCTCTTCCAGAGTACCAGGTTTCAATTCCAGCGTGACAGATCACAGCCATTTGCAACTCCAGTCTCAGGGGATCCAATGCCCTCTTCTGGGCTCCACGGGCACTGCACATATGTGGTGCACAGACATACAAATAAGCAAAAACCCATATACATAAAAAATAACAAAGAAATGCTCTTTAAAAATAGTTAATTCAGTTGGGCAAGAAAAAGATCTGGCTAAATGATGCAAGGGTTCGCCATAAGACAAAGTACTTTTCCTTCCTAGCATTTCCAACCCCCATCCACAAGCCACCATGAGGCTTGGCTGGGACTGCCCACCTTTTGGAATCCTGACTTGGAAAGTCCTGTTTCTTCTCTTCTATCTTTTCTTTCAGATACAACCAGAGCCTCGGCACATGTTTCCTTGTACTCTGGGTTTCCTTACACTTTCTGTAAAACTCCCCTTCTGACCTCTGTGCCAGCTTTTCAAACAGCATGACTTTGCCTCCTCTCTTCTTTACTCTTCTCCTTTATAGCCGGCTTGCCTGGTTTTTTTTTTTAAAACTCTAGTAAACTGACCTCAGTTTTGAGTCTGTTTTTAGATTTTTCATCAATGAGACTAAAAACCCCAAGAAGAAACTCAGATTTCCTATTTTTTGAGTATCAGCACTGGCTCTGTTGGATTCCTCAGGGGTTTCTGGCAATACTCCTTGCCTGCCTTTTAATGACAGAGCAAAGAAGCTGGACTGCCCCACACTTCTAGACAACATTACTCTCTCCAATTCCCTGTTTTCTCTCAAGTCTCAGAGTCCTTTCCTCACTTGGTTCTGTTTTCCTGTCCCCAGTACTGAGGACTGAACCCAGGACTTTGCATGCTGGACAAGCCCTCTACCACCGAGCTGTAACTCTAGTCTTTCTACCTTTCTAAATGTGGAGATTGGGTCTTGTTAAATTTCCCAGGCTAAACCTGAATTTCAAGTCTTCCTGCTTTAGCCTCCTGAGGTCCTGGGATCGCAGGCCAGGTTTCTGTTTCTTATATTACTGTCCACCTTAGCAACAAGGGACCACTGGTTCACTGGCATTTGTGTCAATTTAAGTTTTTTTTACCCCTAAGTCATTTCTGTCGTGGTCATCTGGTCAGCTCTCACCATGAGCCCAGCCATCAGCCTCTGAACCTGCATCTGGGTGACACGCCAATGGTGGCTGTCTCTACCACCCATGAGCATCATGAGCATGAGCTCCTCACGTGCACAATGCTGCTCCTCACCCTTGAGCCCACACATCAGACCTTCTCTGAGCTCTTCTGCCTTAAGCCTTGAACCCTTCTCTTTAAACAGCTATTGTAGCCTTCCATTTAATGGCAACATAGCATTATTTTCATGGTGACAAATACCAGAATTAACTTTACTAGGGCCAACCCAACAGCCCTCATTGTTATGGGCAGTCTGTCCTTCTGGTCCACCTCCCACCTCCTCATTCTACCCCAGAAGCCTTTCTTGTGTTCATTTCCCAGAAGCCCTTCTTGCCTTTGTCTGCTCACTTCTCAAGCCATCCTTCTTTGGCACTCACAGATAAACTCAACTGCAGCACCTGCATATCAGGCCAGCAGCCCATTAGTTCTCTTCATCCTGTGTACAGCTGTGTCCTCACACACTTCCTCTCACATTCAAGCTAGCCAAAAGCTGTGGCATATCCTTCTATCACTCTCCCATGACACCCCGACATCACTGCGCCTACTCTAAGTGCTATTCTCAGGAGCAGGCCAGTCGCCACCACCCACCGAAGTCTCAGAATGCAACTGGTCCATTCCCTTCCTGTTTTTTCTACCTATCAGTAATTAGTACATATCCAGATTCCCCCTGTGTGATTGATGGCACCACCACTTCTTGCTTCCCTTTCCATTTCTTCCTCCAGGCAATTAATTGTTCCCTAGTCCTGTGCTACAGACGTTCTAGAAACTGTCCAGCGGCTCTATCTGTAAGTGGGAGGGTCAGCTCAACGTAACAGGGTAGGGAAGAGGAAGGAACGTGCCTTCTAGGAGGGTTTTGCAATCACAAGGGCAATTCTAAGCTAGTGTTTATTCTTAGGATGACTCCTAAATGAGTCAGGATCCATGGAAGATACATGATACCATGTTCCAAGAACCTTGGAAACTCTCCGGAAGAATTCAACTTTACCTGAGCACTCATACCCTAGGGTAAAAAGTGACCTTATCAGTTCAGAAAGGTCATAAATAAAGATATAAAAGGAAGACCATGAGTCTAAAGTATCAAATCAAGCCACCTCCTATTACCTAGTAAGGTTTCACTGACACACAGCTGTAAAGCAGCAGCAATGCACACAGGGAACAGAAATGTGGTGATACACACAGTGCCCCACATGGGCCATACCACAGGCTACTCAGTAGGACATCGGCTTACCTTTACAACATGGCAGAGTTTTTGTGTCAAAGCAGAGACCGAACTGACATCATAGTCTTGTAGACGAAATGTATAACCAAAAGTTTTAGCATATTCTGTGAGCAGATCTGTCATCATAAGGCAATTATCCTTTTGGGACCGCAGAAGCTTAACAAACTGGGCAGCTAGAGCTTTAAACCTCTCCACTTCAGTCAAAGTCAGGATTTTCTCTTCTCCACATTCCAATACCTTAACAAACACATAGGGAGGAATGAAGGGTCTGAACACATGATTGTATGTAGAGTTAAATGGCATGAGAGCCTACACACTGGTCACTCAGGATGGGAATGTGGTTATGGAGGCACAGTTCTGCAAGGTCAGAGAGCTCTTCCCTGGGCACGCAAACACATATGTAGGATGTTCCTTTTCCTGGCAGTAAATTCTAGTATGTATATTTCACAACAATAAAAAGTTTTAACAACACATCTGGAATCAAAGACCATGTTAATAAAATTAATAACAGAAATCCAACCCCACTTGGAAAAGCTTGGCATGAATTCTTTCACCCTACCTCTAACCAAAGGGATTTGGGAAGCATGGTGCTGCTTAAAACATAGCCAGTTTAACATTTAAACCATCCCATCCTGGTGTGGGAGAATTGTCTGTATTCTGTCAATCATGTATTTTAATAAAACGCTGATTGGCCAGGCAGGAAGTATAGGTGGGTCAACCAGACAGGAAGTGGAGGCAGGGCAATGAGAATAGAATAAGGCTACGGAGGAGGAAGGTTCCTCTGTCACTCCTGTGCACACCACCAGAGAGGAAAGATGTAAGCTGCCCCGCTGGAAAAGGTACTGAGCCATGTGCTAACACAGATAAGGATAATGGGGTAATATGTGTTATAAGAACTAATAAGAAGCCTGACCTAATAGGCCAATCAGCTTTATAATCTTATAGAGATCTCTGTGTGGTTGATTTTCCTTGGGAGTTGCTGGTTGTGGGGTACCGGGCGGGACAGATACCTCAACAAGCCGGCCCTTCATGTTACACCATCCTATTTTTAATGATTACCCCAACACAAGTTGAAGATATTTTTGAGGTGGAATCTTGTTGTTTAACCCAGGTTGGCTTTAATCTTAGAATTCCCCAGCCTCTACCTCATAAATTCTGGGATTACGAACAAATCCTCCAATTATCTAAAATTACTAACAGGTCAAAATACAGTTTTGCTGATGAGAATATTTCAGACTCATAACTAAAAACAGTAACAACACCTCTCTATACACTGCTCAGAAAAACACTTAAAGAATAAGGTAATCTCTGCACTTACTTGTAAAATCTCAGGTATGGCTTCCAAAAGTTCAAGGAGCTTGGTAAATCCATAGTATGCAAGCTTGCACTGTCTGCCAAAGTGGTGGTGGTAAGAGGGAATGAACTTGTTAAATGGCATCCGGAAGTGGGGCTGGTGGCGCAGCAGGTCCACAACATCCTTGGAGAACTGCTTTGTCCTCTCGATCTCATCCTGAGTTCGTTCTTTACAAGACAAAGAATATTACACATCAGGCTCCCATCCATTGTGTTTAGTTCTAACCTGCAGGGCACTGCTGGAGTCACAGAGGTCAGCTCCGTGAGGCTACTACTGTGTGAGGTGAGAGACACATGTGTCATCACCTACAAGACAGGAACAATTTCTATAAATCCTGTCCACTATACCTATGTGAACAAGATAGACAGAGGTCTGGTGCTTCAAGCAATACAGTGTTATTTCTACAAAATCACACTACAAAACATTCACACATTTTTCATTTATTTGATCTTCAGTTCAAAATTGCCAACAGAAAAGAGTATCAAAATTTCAACAAAATTCAAGAGAAAAAGTACTTAAACATTGATCTTCATTTCTATTAATTTTAAATTGATTGGAAGAGAACTGGGAAAAGACAGACACCACAAATTTTAACTCTGGAAGCCTGTGACCTCAGGGACACAGAGACACTCTCACTGGTAAGGGGGAATATGATAATTAGCAGGTCTCTCTCCCAGAGTTGACAGTACTGAACTACTAGGATTGGAAAGACAAACGCCACATTTCTATGAGCTTGTTTTCTTCTAAAGTATGCATTGTGTAATAGTTCTCAGAGCTGAGACAGAGTCTCCATCAAGTGACAGAGTCATTAGAAATTGCTGTACATAGCTGGGAAGCATTTAACAAAGTATTGGCTACAGTTTCTTCTCATCTTTGAGTACATTCTTAAAGACCAGTGTGCTTTCTTGCAGGATACATGGCTTCCCTTCCTCCAAACAACACAGGTTCTGTGTACCAGGCAGTTTTACAAACCATACTTCCAAAGGAACCATTAAGAACCATGGAAAAGGAGGGAAAAGGGAACCCCCCCAAACAAACAAACAAAAAACCTATTTCATTTAAAAGTAACTGATAACTAGAATCATGCCTGCAATCCCAACACTTTGGGAGGCTGAGGTCAGAGTAATACTGAGGTCAAAGTAAACCAGCCTGGGCTACACAGTGAAGTTGGGCCTCAAAAGTACAAAACAAAACAAAACAAAACAAAAAGCCAAAGGCACTACTGAGACAGACAACACCTCTCCACATACCTCTTTTACGGATATAAATGACCATGTCATCATCTTGTTGGGACAAGCAGATGGTTGTGTCTGGGATCTCTGATATGATATCAATCAATTCACATACACCATATTCTGTGACATCCCAGTCCCTTGAGAAACACCTATGTTTTAAAATGGGAAAGGATAAAAAATGAGTAAAACTCATTACCACAGTAACAAGCTTTACAAAACTCTGCTTAATGGAAACGTGAGAGGAGTATTTGAAACTTGTAGGAAAAAAAGAATGTTAAATTTTTTTTTTTAAAGCTTCCCATCAACTCACCAATGATAAGCCTGTGAGAACTCTCTCACAATGACCTGCTTGCTGGCCTGGGACTTGAGAAGTTTTAGTAAATCCTGAGTAAAGCGCTTCACCTGGGCCCTATGAGTGAGGGTCAGCAGACGTTTGGAGCCCATTCCAAGAATCTGAAAATGAAATGTTCTCATTATTTATACTGAAGAACTCAAAAGATATGTTGTGTCAACCTCATCTCTAACTTTCTTGCTCTTGTTATTTTCAGACTATCTCCCTCTATGTACAATGTCTGCAATCTGAAATGGACAAAATTCAACATATAGAGTTGAAAAGAACAATGGTCCAGGTTCATTTGTTTTCGAAGTGCTGTTGTCTCAAAAGATCATGAGCACAAAGAGGAAGAGCATGTGCTTAGTCTGGATGACTAATCTCAGCTCTAAAAGACAGCTAAAGTAGTCACCGGGTGGTGGTGCACACACTTTTAATCCTCCCACTTGGGAGGCAGAGACAGGTGGATCTCAGGTGAGTTTGAAACCAGCCCAGTCTACAGGGCGAGTTCCAGGACAGGCTTCAAAGCTACAGAGAAACCCTGTCTTAAAAAAATAGCTGAAGTTTTTCAAGCGTCTTTAACAAGTGGGAAATTATGAAAACACTGCCTTCAGGGGACGTTAGAGGCAGCCTAGAAAATAATCCAAGGCCAAACTCTAGTTCAGTGACTAATGTCCAAATCATGAAGGGTGGAGCCCTCGACTCCCTGGTAGGTATCAACATGTAAGAAAATGATGGTCACAGCAGCCCCCTGTGGTGCAGGAGAATTGTCTGTATTCTGTCAATCATGTATTTTAATAAAATGCTGAATGGCCAGGCAGGAAGTATAGGTGGGTCAACCAGACAGGAAGTAGAGGCGGGGCAATGAGAACAGGAATATTCCAGGAAGCAGGAAGCTCCCTCTGCCATTCCTGCCCAGACCACCGAAGAGGCAACATGTGAGCTGTCACACTGAGAAAGGTACTGAGCCGTGTGGCTAATATAGATAATGATAATGGATTAATATAAGTTACAAGGACTAACAAGAAGCCTGAGCTAATGGGCCAATCAGTTTATAACCTAATGTAGACTCTGTGTTATTTTCTTTGGGAATTGCCGGCTGTGGGGTACCGGGCGGGACAGAAACCCCAACAAGCTGGCCCTCATGTTACACTCCTGTAATGAGCATCCTAGAGAACAACACTGCAAGAAAGGTATCAGCCCATAGACACTGGAAGAAAAATGTTCACAGGCCTCTAGGGAATTATTCCAGGTTAGAAATTTGTAGTTCCCTCAAAACTTGAGAGGGCAGCTGCATTTTGAAGCAAGTTATAACAGGATGTTTAGCTCAGTATGGCTTTCTGAGAAATGAGGTACTATTTGTCTGTGTCTTTGGCTGTGGCAGCTGAAGTCATGGAAGAACACTCCTTTCTTTGAACAAATAACCCCTCGTGCCCTTTACCTGTAACACGTGAGGCACTGCTTCTAATAGTTCAATCAGCTTGGAATAGCCATAATCTGAAACTCGACACTGCTTTGCAAAATGGTGATGGTATGAAGGGATAAAATTGCTAATTGGTAGTATACAAGACGGTTGATTCTTCAGTAAATCAATTACTTCTCTACCGAATTGGATCAGCTGGGGATTACCCACAGGACTTTTAGAACGCAGAAGCCAAGGGTCTAGAGAAGGAAAAAAAAACACAGAAGACCTTAGGCATGATTTCACTGACACAGTAAACATACATAGTGTGTTCACTACACAGCAAGCCACTGTTTCAAGTTTCAGCTTGAACACAGGAGCCACAGAATCAAACAACCAGGCTATCTTACTATAGGCAGGCAAACCAGTGCCCATAATTCTCAAAAGGTGTCAAAGGAAAGCACAGAGCACTCTGGGGTTATGGCAGAAGTGAAGATGAACAAGGATTTCCCAGACTACATTGGCTATATTTCAAAGATCGATCTGTAACTTGGCCAATTGGACAGTATTTCTCCCACAGACACAGTATAGATGGATCCCAGGCAGATGATCGATGAAAATGCAATTAACCAATAATGGAGTTGAAATAATTACCCACAAAGATATAGGAGGCAGTAACGGGAGCAGGATGGAAAACATCGACTCAGAAACAGATCTATCTACCTACTTCCTTCCTGAGACAGTCTCACTATGAAGCCTAGCAGGATGAACCACCCCATAAAGACCAAACTCAAATTAAGCCTCCTCTGTCTCCTACATGCTATGATAAACAGGTCTATACAATCAGGGTTAAGCACTATCTCAAGGACTCACACCTCATAAAAGCTTTAAACAAAAAACAAAACAAAACAACAACAACAAAAAAAACCAAAAAAACCCAAAATAACTTAGGCTGAGCTAAAATAATGGCAAGTGCCCTTAATCTCAGTACTGGGGCAAGGCAAGCTGAAGCAAGAGGATCCATGAGTTCAAGATAAACCTGGGTTATATAAGTAAGACATTATCTCCAATAATAATACAAAAGTTAAAATTCAAAAAATAAAACCTAAAAAAATAATCAGACAAAAACCTTTATAGAAATGAAGAGATTTGTGAATTCATGGCACAAGACAGCGTGAGCCTTGCATGGCTCCTAGGCAGCTTGAAGCTGAGGGGGAGGATAGGTTCAGGAAGGAGCTTCTGCAGAGCTCCCCAGAGCTGCTGACTCAGGCTCCCAGTTACCCTCTCCCCTTTCCTGTACAGGAAACAGAGGTACAAACCTAGAAAGGAAGACACATTAGGGCTAAAGAGAAGGAAGAGAGCGCAAGCATGCATGTGCGTGAGTTTGCGCATGCACCTGTGCACACACATGGCAAGGCACAACTTGTGGAAGCTGGTTCTCTCCTTCCACCATGTGAATCCTGGTGCTCAAACTCAGGTTGTCAGTCTTCATGGTAGGCTCCTTTACTCTCTGAGCCATCTTGCTGGCCCAATGCTGATATCTTCAAAAGTTAGACTCTACCAACCCCTTAGCAACTCTGGGGAGTCTTAAGATCAGAGGAGACATTGTGAAAAAAACTGTTTTTTTTTTCACTGTGCTGCTGTTTAAAATCAAAGCTACAACTTTCTCCTGGCCTCCTTGGAGACACGAGGGAGCTTAGGCCTTAATCCCTGATACCTGCCCACCTACCAGTGTTGGGAGGTGGGGGCTTGTTGTGAATCCACTTCACTACTTTGACACCATTCTGAGCACTGGCAATGTTCACTCCTGGAATGCAGGTGATGAAGTGCTCTAAAGGGACACCCCTGGGGCTGTCTTGCACGATTTCTAGGTCACCAAACTCCGCAGCATAGCAATCTGGAAAGCTGAAGTGGGGGGGGGGGATGTTAAATGGAAATAATGGAAAAGGCAGTACATGCTCAACAACAGGCTTTAATCTATAGTACTGGTCTCTGTGATATTCTAACAGCTCTAAGAAATCCCTGGGCAGTGCTCACTAGGAAGTTAGACAAAGCACACTGGCTGCCAAGGCCACCAAGTCTGGCGGTGGTCTTTGTTCTCTACAGCTTTGGAACCTGATCACAGATGGAATGATGCGCTCTACGGGCACTTGTGCAGCTTTCCATTTGGATGTCCCTCTTTCCTGCAGAGAAGAAATTGCCCTCATGTTTATGTTTGTGAAATTCAACATAAGCTCAGTTTCTTGTTGAAATACTGAGTGCATGGATCTACTTCTTAAAGCTTCAATCCCAGGACAGAGCCCTATTTTTAATCCTTGGTTCAGTCAGTAGGCAGACTGCAGGAATGACACTACCACACTACTCCCAACGGCTAACATTGCTCACCTTAGCAAAGGCACAGCGCCCTCATGGGTCTGGAGAAGACTATGAACTTGAGGTGCAAACGCTTTCAAAGAAAGGACCACAAAAGGGATCTTGTAAGAGTCTGGATCAAATTCATGTTCACTGCAGGAAAGACAGCAAGCAGTGAGCTGGCGCTTCTCAGGAGTGGAAAGCATTCCCTGCTCACACTCTCTGGAGGGTGCCGATGTACCTGAAGTCCTTGTTAGAGTAGTGCTGCCTGCAGACAGGTTCATGATATTCCAACTCTTCAAAAAGAACTGGGCTGCAGTTCGTGGAGGAGCCATCAAGTGACTGGGAAGAGCCCAGGGGGCTCTGGCGGGCCTGGCTGCTGGGTAAGAGACACACCAGCCGCCCATTTCCCTGCTCACGGATTGCAATTGTGTCTGTTAATTTATATAAATCAGACACATTTAACTTGTGTCCATACCTAAGAACAGGAAAGAGATATTGTCTTAGAATATCTTTATTTTTTTTAAAGAATGATTTATGTATTTAATATGTATACAGTGTTCTGTCTGCGTGTGTGCCTGAAGACCAGAAGAAGGCACCAGATCTCATCATAGATAGTTGGGAGTCACCATGTGGTTGCTGGGAATTGAACTCAAAACCTTTGGAAGAGTAGTAAATAGTAAGTGCCATTAACCTCTGAGCCGTCTCCCTAGCCCTAGAAGGTTTTTCTTATGTAGAAATACCTGACCTGTCTAAATAAAGCAACATAGAATAGCTTCCCCGTGACTGAACTTATCCAGTCCTACAGTCATGTGGCTCCTCACATGCTGACTCTACTTCAGCCTTTGTAAACTTTACTCAACCAATTTGAACCTTAATTTTGCTGTCTTTAAAACGCTGAGGTAACTTGTACCTCGTGGTGCTAAATGAGGACAGTGTGTTCTTAGGCATGGGTGGGCTTGGCCTGGGCACTGGCAATCCCTTCCAACCTCTCCAGGTTCCGCTGCCAGCTCCCTACCTCCATCAGGCCTCTTTCCTACCCACACGGGGAGACACACATTATCTCTGTTCTTTCATTCCTAGTCATATGCTCTCTGATCCTTGAGAGTAAAAATAACTGATCTCTCAGGACTGACATTTGCTCAGGCTCTAAACCTCTTCCCTCCTGGCTGTATGTCACCAGTTGTCCCTAAACCTCACTCCGCTTCCTCAGCCCAGAAACTTTCCATGTCTGGCATGTCCTTTTTCACATACTTTCCTTACCCCACCACCCTCACCCCTGGGACGCTGCTTGTTACCCTGGTCTTCCATCCAGTTCTACTTCCCTCCCCAACCTCTTCTGACCCTATCTGCTTCCCTGCCCCTCACAATGCCTAGTCAACAAATAGCAGCCAGGACTTTCAGAGCCAACATGTCTCTCACAGAGCCTCCAAAATAGCACTCCAACTCTCTGTATCAAGACTCCAACAGTGCCCAAAACTTTTATGTCCAAGACCTAACACTTACTGTGATCTCATTCAAACTTCATGCCTGTTTCCTGTTTAACTGTCCCCGCCATGTTCCCAGGTCAAATGTTTTCTACCTTTAATTTTGCCATCTTGTTTCCTACCCAACATCAGTTATCTGATCCTGATTTATAGGAACTTGAATCTCCTTTTTCAAAAAAAATGTATTATTTGATGTGTATACATGTTTTGTCTATATGTATGTCTGTGCACCACATGTGTGTAATGCCCTTGGACGCCAGAAATAGCATCATATCCACTAGAGATAGAGTTACAGGTGGGTGTGAGCCACTTTGCAGGCGCTGGGAATTGAAACTGGGTCCACTGCAAGAGCAGCCAATGCTTCTCCTAAATGCTAAGCTATCTCTCTAGACAGTGGTTCTTAACCTTCCTAATTCTGTGAAACTTTCATACAGTTTCTCATCTTATGGTGTTCCACCCCAGCATAAGTTATTTTTGTTGCTACTTCATAAATAAAATTTTGCAACTGTTACTAATCATAATGTAAATATCTGATATGCAGAGTATCTAATATTTGACCACTGTGAAAGGGTGGTTGTTTGACCTCTAAAGGGATTGCTACCCACAAGTTGAGAACCTCTTTGCTCTAGCCCACCCACCCATTCCTCCATCCATTTATTTAGTTTTTGAGACAGTATCTGTGTCTGGCATTTGTACAGCTAAGTATGTCTTGAACTCCTGATGTTCTGAACTGCACTCCCAAATGCTGGAATTACCAATACATGCCACCAGGTCTCAGAGAGACTTAAAACTTCTGTGGCACATAGTCCTTGTAGTCCAATTGCATCAGACAGAATTGGGGCTGGTGAAGAACGTTCCCTCTTTTTTCCTGTCCTTGAAGATGGCTCTGACCACCATAATTCTCTGTCCCCCATTCCTCCACTCATGCAATGGCTCATTACTCATGGAGTAACTGCCACACCTCTGGGATGCCTTCCTTTGGATCTCTGAAGCATTCTCTCTTCCATGAACCTCCTTTTCACTGACAATTCTCTTTGATTCATAAAGAATTTGTGAGATTCTCTTTCCTTCTTTGGGTACAGAACCACGCCCTTTGCAAATCTGCATTTTCTGCAGTGCCTCAGCTTTTGTAACACCTGCTGTGCATTGCACACTGGACACTAAAAATTCTAGTCCCTGTCTAAAGTATAGAGCAATCTCACAAATGCCATCCCAAGAATAATAAAAACTAGTTGGTAAAACAAAATTAAAAAAGCTTAGCTTTCAGAATTGTGGTGGTTTGAATGAAAATGGTCCCCATAGGCTTAGGGAGTGGCACTATTAGGAGATGTGGCCTTGTCTGAGGAAATATGTCACTGCAGGTGGGCTTTCAAGTATCAGAAGCTGAAGTCAGGCCCAGCCTCTCTCTCTTCCTGCTGTCTGTGAATCTGAATGTAGAACTCACAAGTTCCTTTTCCAGCGCCATGCCTACCTGTGTAACATGCTTCCCACCATGAGGATAATGGACTAAACCTCTGAAACAATAATCCAGACCCAATTAAACGTTTTCTTTTAGAATAGCTTCCATGGTCATAGCTTCACAGCAATAAAACAGAAACTTGAGTACAATTTTGCTAAACATAAAAGTTTAGGACTGGAGAGATAGCTCAGTGGTTAAGAGTACCAACTGCTCTTCAGAGGACCCGGGTTCAATTACCAGCACCCACATGGCAACTCACAACTGCTTGTCTGTAATTACGGTTCCAGGGCACCTGACACCCATGACAAAACATCTGTATACACATGAAAATTTTTAGAAAAATTTAAAAATTAAGAATAAAATGATTTTAAAAAAATTTTTAAAAAGTGTTAGATTCAAATTTCCAATCTGATCAGAACCTTCTCTGTGAGAAGTTCCTTAAGGGTGAGCATAATAATTTTTTGCATGAAGTCACCAATCACTACTGACTACATCAACAGAATAAACAGAACTTACTTCTTTTCATAGGTGTCTATAAATTTAAAGAGAGGCAAACAGCAGGCGGGAGCGTCCTGAAGAACAGAGACTGTTTCTGTGCTGTAGGACAAAGGCCACAAGTTAGAGAGGAGCTTATTCCTGTATATTACATATTATATATATTTTCTTCTTTTTTTCCCCCCCTGGATTTTCAAGAGACAGGATTTCTCTGTGCAGCCCTGGTTGTCCTGGAACTCACTCTGCAGACCAGGCTGGCCTCGAACTCACAGAGATCCGCCTGCCTCTGCCTCCCTAGTGTGATTAAAGGTGTGTGCCATCACAACCCAGCCAAAGTGTGTTTTTAAAAGGTTTATAAAATTAACACAATGTACATGCAGAGTAAACTTCCGAATTTGATATGTCAAGAGTTTACTTTTCAGAAAAGTTAAAAAGAAAATCAAAAAGGTTTTAGGATCAAGCCAAAGAAAGTAAATCAAGTCATTCCCTGGGATTCCCTGGGACTCAGTAACAGGACTTCCTACATCAGTGCAGCAGAAAGACATGGGGTCTCCTAAGGACAGGGGGAGGGACACACATTGGGCTTTAAGTCCAAGTGAAGACAGAATAGCTTGAATTATCTCCTGCCACGTGTGGTTTATGTGTTAGATATATGAGGCTGGATTTCCTGCATGTGGCTGGACATGTAACTGTACACAGTAGCATCTTCATTACTAGTTACAAAAAAAGGTACTGGTGCCACAGAAATAGGGGTCCAAACACTGCAAAAATCTAAGTATTATTTTTATTCTTAAAAAAAAAAAAACCATGCCCACAACTTCAAATACTGTCTAAGTACAAACCAGAGAAGGTCCTTGATATTTCAATACTCAGAGTGAATCCCATTTCACTGCTCCCACAGCGAGAGAACCAAAGCAGCTCATGAGGAGCCCACACTGACCCAGTCTTCAGGAAGACACTGCACTAGGACTCCAGCATGGATTTTACCCTGTTCAGGCTTCTGCATGTTACTGTAGTGGTCCGTTAGTCTTAGAACCTGTTCTGGGTAATATGCTACTTCATTCTCAAAGGGCTGCCAAGTTCAAGCTTTGGCTTTTGATTAAAAACTTGAACAAAAGGCAGAGAGCAGATTTCAAACCCTATCAATTTACAATAACCTTTATTGTATACAGGAGGATTGGAAATGTGATAAAATTTATTATTTTCCAAATCATTTGTGGCTCAGTTTGTTATGTCTTGAAGTGAATGGCTTGGATATTGTATTTGTTTGTTTTGTTTTTCTAGACAGGCTTTTTCTGTGTTAACAGTCCTAGCTGTCCTGGAACTAGCTCTCGTAGTCCAGGCAGGCCTCAAACTCAGAGATCTGCCTGCCTCTGCATCCCAAGCGCTGAGATAAAAGGCGTGCACCACCATGGCCTGGCTTGGATACTGTTTTTTACCTTAGCAAAGAAAGTGATTTGTTGGCAGTTCCCACAGAGAATGAGACCAGAATTTTCTTGCTGCCAATCTTGTGCCTATGGAGGCTGTTCACTGCACAGATTGCTTCTTGCAGGTTTCCCATCTGCACAATGGCCTTGAGCTGGTAATCGGTATGAGGACTGAGCTCAATACTCTTGACCTACAAAAGGACAAAATGAAACTGAGCACTACCAATATTTACCCAGAGCCTGTCATCTTCAAAAACGTGAATGAACTGTAGAAAAATATGCTACTAGATGTCAGAGCCTGCATGAGATGACTTGTCTGAATAAGGTACTGCAGGTGACCAGAGTGTAGATGATCTTCAGAGAAGCTGGCCTGGCCAGTCTGCCTGTGTGCTCTGGCCTATGTCACTCAGAGGCAGACTCAGAGAACAGGGTTTCTCTGACTCTGCAAAATACCAGGTCTATAAAGGGTGCATTTTTTTTTTAAAGCAAACTGCACCTAAACACTGGACTGGGTAAATTAAAATACAATAAGAAATAGCCAATATTCCTTTAGACTAGTGGTTCTCAACTTGTGGGTCAAACCCCTTTGGGGGTTGAGTGATCCTTTCACAGGGGTAGCATATCAGATGTTTACATTACAATTCATAACAGGAGCAAAATTAGTTATGAAGAAGCAATGAAAGTCATTTTATGGTTGGGAGTTACCACAACATGTGGAACTGTTTTAAAGGGTAGCAGCATTAGGAAGGTTGAGAACCAATGCTTTAGATTTTTTGTATTTCTGGATGTAGTTCTTGGTAAGTTCTTCTATCTATGACAGGCACTTCTCATGACTAGCTTCATTTTCTCTTACGTGTTTTATACTTCTTTTAGCACAGAGAAGGGAAAAGAAGTTCCAATCTGTCCAGTCATACCCATGTCCTAGCTGTGGCTCTGTGTGTCCCATTAGGCCCTCTGGTATTAAACTCTACCAGGGGTAAAACAAGCAAGGACAGGAGTGAAAGGGGGGAGGGCTGGGAGGGGCAGCTGGAGAACAAATGGCTCAGCAGATAAGAGCCTACATATATTACTCTTTCAGAGGACCAGAGTTCAGTCAAAGCATCCATGCTGGTGAGCTTAAAACCCACTGTAACTCTAGCTCCAAAAGACCTGACACCTCTGGCACCCACATCCATGTGCACACACCCTCACACAGATACACACATCCATATAACTATTTAAAATATATCTTTAGGGGCTGGAGAGATGGCTCAGTGGTTAAGAGCACCACCTGCTCTTCCAAAGGTCCTGAGTTCAATTCCCAGCAACCACATGGTGGCTCACAACCATCTGTAATGAGGTCTGGTGCCCTCTTCTGGCCGGCAGGTAGAGCACTGAGAATACTGTATACATATTAAATAAACAAATCTTAAAAAAAAATAAAAAAATAAAATATATCTTTAAAATAATGAAAGAGTGAAGAAGCTGAATTGTGGCTTATGATTTTAATCACATCAACCGGGAGGCTGAGGCAGAAGGACTCTCCCATAGTTGAGACTAGCTGAGCTACAGAGTTGAGATCCTGCCTTAAAAATGCCACACACTCCCAAAAACCCAAACCAATTACCCTAATAAAAAGAGTGAAGTACCTGGCCGTGCCTGGAAAAGGCCTCCTGGAGGAGCTGCTGCAGCTCCTTCCGGGACAGCCTATAGTCCACATTGCTGACCTGGATGTCAACACCATTCGCAAACGGGTCTGGGCAGTCAGCACTGCTGCTGGGACTGGCAACATTGAAAGCAAGTGGCGAAGCTCTGTTTAAAAGGTTTGGAGACATACTCCTGCAGAAAAACACAAGATACGAACAGTTCTATGTACCGGTTTCTGCCAGTTCAGCTTTGTCTCAAACAATAGATAACAGAGACTTTCCGATTTGGCTTTGCAGTGGATATAGCTTAAGCCTATGCTGATTTAGGCTTACTGTCTAAAGTACTATGAATTGGACTCAATAAAAAAATCATTCGGTATCAAATGTTATTTCACAGAAATATTTAAAGCAAAACAGAGAAAATATAGGAAGTCTTGCTAAATTAAAATTCCACTCCAGGCATTTAGTCTTACAAACTTAGCCTCTAACACTTACGTAAGATTTAACCTCCTCTGATTTACAAGGCCTGCTATTACAAATAAGGCAGGCTCTGGGGCCAATTGCTACATGAAACTGTACATTTCCTTTCTGCAGTGATTTTTTTTTAAGATTTTTTTTCTAAGATAAGGTCTCACTACATAGCTCTTGCTGTGCTGAAATTCACTAAGTAGACCAGCTGGACTCAATCTCATAGAAATCTAAACCTCCCAAATATTGGGATTAAAGGCATGTACCACTGGGCTTGGCTTTTCCAGAGTGATTCTTAACCAGCCATGCATAGCAAATGCGTGTAAAAATAGGCCTTTATGGCAGCCCTGTCTGCCAAGTCTCACAGCAGCCTCCTACAAAGTAACAGCCAATGCTCATCTCATTTTGGCTTTCCTCAACACAAAGAGTGCAAGATGCTGTTTATCTAGTTGATTGTTTTTATTTAAGGTCTTGCGAAGTTAACACAGGTTGGCTTTGAACTCATTATGCAATCCATGCTCATGATCCTCCTACCTCAGATTCCCAAATCCTGGGAACCTAGGTATGTACCTGACCATAAGGCCATCTTAATGTCCTTCCCTGTTGATACGGTATCATCTAGATTTCCAAATGGAGGAAGGAACAATGGAGGAAAGCATTGCCTCTGAATGTCAGCTACAGTAATCTGTAAATAGGGTCTCAGCGAAAATGGCAGACCTGCCTTAGTGTGCACAGTCTCAATAATTAATGCAGTGACCTATAACCTTCCGGCTGCATATCCACCCATGGGTGTGAAGCTGGACTTACCTCGGAGACCAAGACTGAGAGATGAGCAGAGGGCTGACTTGCCTTGAGGCGATCAGCTTGCTGAATGCAGATGGGTAGCTCACTTGGAAGACAGTCTCCTCTCTCTCCTTCTTCTCTACAGGAGAGCTGGCAGCACTCTGGGAACTGACATTCTCTTTTCTAACAGGAAGAAGAATTTGAGAGTAAATGTCACGGGTTTCCCATGATTTCATAGAAGCAGCTACAAGAAAACTGGACATACTTCTGATTGCTTCTGTAAAGTGGCTCCATCATGCCTGTGTTCTTCAGAGTGGGCACTGAAGTGCTTAGGCCACCATCAGGCAGTGCTGCCAACCTCCCATGGCCTTGCTGGTGCTCGCCGTTTCTGCTGCCAGTCTTTGACTCCATTCGGCATAGCTCCTTTAAAGACACAAGTGTAATGGCCTTGAACCCTAAAACCTCAGATGAGTCAGATCCTATACAAACTGTAAGGTCACTGAGTCTCAGCAAAAAAACAAAGTAAAAGGACACAACAGGAGCTGCAGGCACAGGACACACAGAAAGAAACCAAACCTACCATAAACGTCAAAAGGCAAGCAATATCGAAGTTACCTGTAAACTTTTAATGTTTGTGTTTTTTGTAGCAGATCCAGAATTTGCCTGCAACCCTTTGCCAGGCATGGCTTTGGCATTGGGTGACTGTTCACTTGTGTCTTTGATGAGGCACAATTTTGAGTTCTTAATTTTTTTGGGAGACTTCGCCTTATCGGCAATTGCATTTGAGTTCTTGGTTTCAAGGAACTCTCTATGTTTTGGAGTAAATGACACAATGATCCTGTTACCAAAGACATCTTCATTTTCCATTCGCTTCTGGGCCCGCTCTGCACTGTCCTGGTTTATGAAGCGGAGAATTGCACTGCAGCCTGATATACTCAGCACTTTGCCACCGCAGTTATCAGACAGGCGCCTAAGCCTGTTGCTGATGCTCTTGCCGTCTTTATTTGCTGGTAGGTTATACACATAGAGCAAAGTGTGGCACTGCAAACACGGGGAAAGGAGTTATTTCAGTCAGAACAAGAACAAGTGCTGTCTTCACTTCAGTTAATTCACTGAAAACGTAGGGACAGCAACTTTGACGGGAAAGGGTAAACTCATTCAGTGTAACTGAATGTTGTTTCCAATAATCAGCTAGGTACAGATACACTGAGTGATTCTGTCTCTATACAACATCCAGAAAAGACCAACCTAGAGTCCAGTGACTAGCTGCCTGGATGAAAAGGGAATCACCATCAACTGGCAGACACCACATGGAAACCATTTCTAACTGAGAGTGCATCTCAGTAAATATTAAAAACTAATTAGCTGTACATGTCAGCTAAGAGCCTATTACTTCTAAGGTCAGAAGTCTTCCAGATATCCTGAAATGTGTGTATCAAGAAATAGGGCCAGTTGGTGGCTGTGTAAATCTTTAATCCCAGCATTAAGGAGGCAGAGGTAAGTAGATCTCTGAGTCTGAGGCCAGCCTGGTCTATGGGGCAAGTTCCAAGATAGCCAGGGCTACAGAGAAACCCTGTCTCAAAAAACTAAGATAGATTGGAAGAAAGAAAGGAAGGAAGGAAGGAAGGAAGGAAGGAAGGACGGACGGACGGACAGACGGACGAACAAACGAACGAACAGGGGTTGGGGATTTAGCTCAGTGGTAGAGTGCTGACCTAGAAAGTACAAGGCCCTGGGTTTAGTCCTCAGCTAAAAAAAAAAAAAAAATAGAACTGTGAAAATGCTAGGAAAATGAAGATAATTGTGGAGAAGGCTAAATCAGGGAGCCACAGAAAAAATATTCAAGGGTAACAGAAAAGAAAAAGATTTGTTTAAAAAAAAAAAAAGTTTAGTACGAAGGCCAACTGCAGACAGCACTTTTTACCTGTCACACTGGCAAACACTTAAAATACATTCTCACTGATAAGAGTAGGGATCAATGTCACCTTCTTGGAGGACAAGTAAGAATGTGCCAGTGACTTCTGCCCAGAGCTACCATAGCTGAGAATGTACTCTCAAGACACCCTGGGTAAGCTGCTGGAGATGATAAAAACTAAGTAAGAAAACATGTCCAATAACAGGCTGACTTCATAAACAAATCAAAGGCCAGTCACAGACAAGCTGTCAGTCGGCACTCATTTTGTTTGTTTATTTACTCTGTTTTGAGACAGGGCTTCTCTGTGTAGCCCTGGCAGTCCTGAACTTACTCTGTAGACCAGGCTGGCCTTAGACTCATAGATCTGCCTGCCTCTGGCTCCTGGGATTAAAGATGCATGCTGCCACCACCTGGTTAGCATTCCAATGGCTAAAAATATGGGCAATTTGTACCAGTATTTTGGAAATACACCCAAGTTTTGATACTAATTTTTTTTACAAAGATATGATTTAAAATTATTTTTATATATTTTCAACATCTGGAAAACAATGTTAAACTGTAAACACTGGGAATCATCCCTCACATGATCTGGACTAGGACAAACTCTGGGTTTGCTGGCAACTGGGACTAGCAGGTGGGCTGGTGGACCTGAGTCCAGTCTCTGCTTTGCTGTGGTTGCCAACCTGCTTCTTTTAATTTCTACCTTCCTCCTGTGAGGATGCTGGATACCATTCTTTCTCCCTGTTTTTGATAGGGTCTCAATAATGCAGCCCTAGCTGGATAGGAGCTATGCAGCACAGGTTGACCTGGAATTTGTGATATCCCTACTGCTAACTCTAAATGCTGAGATTACAGACATATGTCACATGTTCTGAGTTGGACAGGGTCATTTATAATATACACTTGCAACTGTGAAGTTATTAAATTATGCATTAAAATCCACTTAATGTATGGGAATGCCATCCTTCTGGAACACCCATACTGGAGGTCCTTTCCACCACTGTTAGAATTTCTTTCAGAGTTACACATGCATTCCCCTAACAGTTCTACACATGGCTCAGCACTGTGGCAATCAACTTTATCCCAAATCAAGTCTAAAAGAAATGCTGTTCCTAGTAATGTGCTCATACTCTCCTAGTATGCATGGCCTTCAACATCCAATGTCATACTCATGCATGACAAGAAACACACTGTAAAAAGCACAGCCTCTGCACCTGCTGCAGTTTGGGAAGAAATCATCCAAAATGCATAATTGCTCTGCTTATCTGTAGCCAGACAAACAAGTGCAGGTGAGCTCTCACCGTGTTCTCTACCCATAATACCCGAGACCAAACCACTTAAACTCTTCTTTCACTGTTTCATCCATTTGATAGAAAGTGTCTTTAGCCTTGGGGACAGTATCATGTATCTATTTCTGAGATAAAGTCACAAGTTGGTTCTCTAGACAAGTTTGAAAAGCATTAAAAGAAAATTCATCTGTATCTATTCAAGACAAGAATTTAAGGTTTCCAAGCTTATTTCAAACTCTGATCAACCTTTTACAAAGAACACCATCCCACACCTGGTGACCCCTGGCTCAGGGCTGTGTCTCAACTCTAAAATCTACCAGTAAAAACCACCAAAGGCAACATAAACCCACTCACAGGGATCTTCAGTGGTAACCTGGGGGGTAAATCAGAAATGAATTCTTCAAATCTGATCAGCTCGTTAGCATGATGCAGCAAGGCTTCAGAGGCTTGGTTTTTATGCACCAAAATGATGTGGAAACCGTGCCTGTGCCTCAGGTCACTGAGTTCCAGTGCAAAATTGACATCAGCTGAAAGACAAGACAAATTATTAGAAACATCAACAGAAGCAGCCCTGGGCAGCGAGTGACATGACAAGGAGGCAGCGGAGGCTCAGCCACTTTCCACTTTTGAACAGGAGCACATTTTCTTGTAAAGAATTAACATGACAGGGCAATCATACCTAACACACCTTCTTCTTCAGTTTTTCTTTTTTTCATGACAGAGTTTCTTTGTAGTTTTGGGAGCCTGTTCTAGAACTCGCTCTGTAGACCAGCCTGGGCTCAAACTCATAGAGATCCACATGCCTCTGCCTCCCAAGTATTGGGATTAAAGGCATGTGCCGCCACTACCACTTGGCGGCTTCCATCTAGTATTAACAGGGAGCAGGTAGCAACACACTGGGGAGATGTGAATCTAAAAATTTATCTTGCATTTTTTTAAGTTTAATACTGAGGGAGGGGGAAACCCCTACTACCCAAAAATGATTTTCTTGAATAAACTGACCCTGTAATATCTCATAGAGAACATAAAGAGTCAGATGCTTTTTTCTTCTACCTTTCAGACAAGTGTTCACTATGTAGCCCAGTCTGGTGCTGAACTTATCCTCCTGCCTTACTTAGCCTTCTACACACTGGGATTAGAGGGGTGAACCACCACACCAGGCTGTAGACTCAGCTGTTTCCTTAAACAGCTGTCAACGTCATCACTGCATGCCCTGTTTTTACCTCTCTGTAGTTCTTTCGCTTGCACATTTCTAGTAATTCCCATGCAGTGATTGTGGCTGAAACCAACAGATGCTTTGACACTTACTTGATACAAGAACCACAGTAGCGGGAGCAGTATGCGTATTTGCAAACCTTCGAAGACTCTGACGGAGCTTGTCATCAGCAGCATTCTTTGCAGTAGCGTTTATGTGAGCAACAGTTACCTGTGATTATTTATCAAAAAAATCATTGAACAAGATCTGGGGTTAGAAAACTGCCACACTTGGTCCACTTTAAAAAACAAACAAACAAACAAACAAAAAAAAACAAAAAAAAAACAAGGTCTCTTTGGGAAGCCCAGGCTAGCCTTAAATTCTTGATCCTTCTGCCTCAGCCTCCAGAGTGCTGGGATTAGAGAAATGCACCACAATACCTGGCACCTAGCAGATAACACACAAGGAAAAAAATTCTCTCTGATTTCTGTTGGGAATAGGGAGGTTACAACCGGATCTCAATAATTTCAGAACTGGTTCTCCATATGAAAAGAGGAAAAATTACTATCCCAAGTCTCATTTCTAATTGCTTTTGAACTTCTTTTATCCCCCTTCTTTAAAAGAGGAGGAAAAGAAGGTAAAATTCAAGTCATCAGGCTTTCCATGATATATTTTGTCCACAATCTACATGTGGTACAGTTAAGGTACAGTGTGGGGTTTATTTTATCACCCATCTCTGCCATCCACTGTCTGGAGCCTATAGCACCTGGAGACGCATGGCAGATGGAAGACGAAATAACATTCCTAAAAAAGTCAAACACACTGAGTACTGTTAAAATTCTAGACTTACACAAAGCTGTTTCCAAAGCAAAGTGCCTCAACCACATGTAATTTTCATTTGGATTTGACAGAGAATGTGTATGTGTATAAATTACATAATATATATCTGTATGTTACACATAAATATATAATTCTAAGCAGAAATATGGAATGTCAAAGATACTATTTATCTAAGAGTCAAAACATTTGGATTCTATCTTTAGATTTACAGCAGACCTTGCTGTCAGACAGCCTTGACTTAAGTATTAGTTCATAACACTGTGCATGATCATGGTTTTAATCTCAACACTCAGGAGACATGAAGTAGGCAGATCTCTGTGAAATTAAGACAAGGCTCATCTACAAGTTTTAGGCCAGCCAGGGCTATTTGGTGAAACTCTGTCTCTAAATAAATAAATAAATTCCAGTTCTTTCCTTTATTGGCCATATAACCACAAGAAAGTAGTTTCCCTTCTTAGAGCCTCAATTTCATCCGTAAATTGGAAATACTACACGCATTCTGTATGGATGTGGGCTGACACAGACAGCACACAGTCACTACAGTGCACAGCACCAAGGTACAAACAACTTCCTGAAAGATCAAATGTTTAAATTTCAGCATTCTAGGAAAAACTGTGTGGCTTTCTCTCATTTGAAAACAGCATAAAAACAATAATATCACTAAACCAAACTGAAATTGGAATTTTAAACAAAACACTCCAAGTAATCAGGCCGACTATGATGACACACATCTTTAATCCCAGCACTCAAGAGGCAAAGGCAGGAGGATCTCTGTGAGTTAAAGCCTGGTCTACAGAGAAAGTTCCAGGCTAACCAGGGCTACACAGATAAACACTGCCTTTAAGGGGGGGGAGCAGGAGAGATGGCTCAGCAGTTAAGAGTGCTGCCTGCTCTTCCAAAGGTTATGAGTTCAATTCCCAGCAACCACATGATGGCGCACAACCATCTGTAATGAGATCTGGATCTGGTGCCCTCTTCTGGTCTGTAGGCAAACATGCAAAAAGAACACTATATATATAAAAAATAAATCTTTACAAAAAATTATGTGAGTGGGTGCTTTGTATGTCTGTATACCACATATGTGCCTGTCACCTGCAGAGACCAGAAGAGGGTGCCAGATGCCTGTAACTAGAGTCGCAGTGAGTGCTTTGTCTGTATGCCAGAGGGCACCAGATCTCATTAAAGATGGTTGTGAACCACTATGGTTGCCAGGAATTGGACTCAGGACCTCTGGAAGAGCAGTCAGTGCTCTTAAGCAATGAGCCATCACTCCAAAGATTGCAATTTCTAACATACACACACACACACACACACACAATTTTACCTGGCAATTATTTAGTTCCTGAATAACTTCCTTGTTTTCTTTACTGATGTCACACACACAGATAAACTCTGCTTCTCTGTGTCCTCTAAAAAACTTCTCACGAATTCTCTGTACAACAGTCGTTGCTGACCGGCCAGAGGGGACTGAGCAATTTTCAATATCCCAGAAAACGCCAATGGGGGGTAGGGTCTCCAGCACCTGTCCAGCGACTGCAACTTCTGGTGACCCTTAAGAAATATTAATACTTCCAGTTACACATAGTGAAAAAGAGAACAGTGAGCTAAAACACAACAGGTAACTACCCATCATTCTAGACAGCAGAAATATTGAGTCAGTGCTGCCATTAAGTTTAAGGATAACAACTTCCCACTGACCAGCCTAAGAAGCAACCAACCACAATATCCAGTGACATACTGAGATCATTTCTACTTTTTCTTCTGAGACAGGGTTTCTTTGTGCAGCCTTGACTGACCCGAAACTTGATTTTAAACCAGGCTGGCCTTGAACTCAGAGATCAGTCTATCTCTGCCTTCTGTTTCTGAGTGCTGGAATTAAAGGCACGTCCCACCACTGCCTGGCCACTCTACTTTCAATAACAACAAAGCTACAAATAAGTGGTGCCAACAGACACCGAGAGAAACAATAAATGGAACCTCCTAAAACTGAGAAGCTTCTGTAAAGCAAAGGACACAGTCAACAAGACAAGCTCTTCACCAACCCCACATCAGACAGAGCAAAATATACAATGAACTCAAGAAATTGGTTATCAAAAGAACAAATAATCCAATAAAAAAAATAGGGTACAAACTTAAACAGAGAATTCTCAACAGAGGAATCTAAAATGGCTGAAAGATACTTAAGGAAATGTTCAACATCCTTAGCCATAAGAGAAATGCAAATCAAAACAGCTCTGAGATTCCATCTTACACTGGTAAGAATGGCCAAGATCAAAAACACTGATGACAGCTTATACTGGAGAGGTTGTGGGGTAAAGGGAACACTCCTCATTGCTGGTGAGAGTGCAAACTGGTACAGCCCCTTTGGATGTCAGTGTGGCGATTTCTCAGAAAATTAGGAAACAACCTTCCTCAAGACCTAGTAATACCACTTTTGGGTATACATCCAAAGGAAGCTCAATCGTGCCACAAGGACATGTGCTCAAACTTGTTCATAGCAGCATTGTTTGTCATAGTCAGAACCTGGAAACAACCTAAATGCCCTTGCACAGCAGAAATGCCCCTACACAGCAGAAAAAAATGACAGCTTGAAATCTGCAAGAAAATGGATGGATCTAGAAAACATCATATTGAGTGAGGTAACCCAGACACAGAAAGACAAATATCATAAGTACTCACTCATTAAGTGGCTTTTAGACATAAAGCAAAGAAAACCAGTCTACAAATCACAATCCCAGCGAACTCAGACAACAATGAGGACCCTAAGAGAGACATACATGGATCTAAACTACATGGGAAGTAGAAAAAGATAAGATCTCCCGAGTAAATTGGAAGCATGGGGACCATGGGAGAGGGCAAAAGGGGAGGGGAGAGAAAGGAAAGGGAGTGGAGAAAAATATATAGCTCAATAAAAACAATTAAAAAAATAATAAAAATAAGTGGTGCCCAAACAGCTCTATATTAACAGTGCGACTTCACTCCCTGCTGACCCATGATGCTTCTGCAGTGATGACCAGAAACTGAGTGGATGCTGAGGACCCTTGACCTGCCACTACCTCAGTGTAGGCTGCCTGCTGTGTATGAAAGAGCATTAAAGAGACCACCAAAGTGAAAAGGGCACTGATTCTCACTTTAATCTACTCTAATATGTCAGTAACATCTGTTTTAAACTTTCAGAGATGTATTTGGATGATAAACTATCACAGTAACTACTTTTTAAGGAAATAATTTTGATTTCAAACTCTAAGGTTTCAATAATCAGCTACTACTAAATTTTTCTAAATACTAAATATGTCTAGGGATTATTAAGACCCTAAGCTGAATTCAAGCATGGTGGTGCAAACCTTTAATCCCAGCACTCAGGAGCAGAAGCAGGTGAACCTCTGTGAGTTAGAGACAAGGATAGTCTATACAGAAGGATTCAGAACACCCAGGGCTACATAGAAAGACCGTCTCAAAAATATTAAACCAAACAAACAACCTGAGTCCAAGTCTCCTACAGCACTTAATCTCTCCAATACACTCCTCTTCCTACACAGATTCTGGTCTCAAACAGGATCAGTTTAACATAAAGGCCTATAATCACAAAGATTCTTGCCAAGGGAGGGAAAAGAGGACTCACATACACTTCCAAGTGCAAATGAACCCCTAGTATCACAAGGAAAGTTTTATAGGCAATTAAATACATTTGTGTCAGATATTGAAAACAACTCAAATGGATGCTATAGATGGCTCAGCAGTCAAGAACACTTTGCTGCTCTTGCAGAGGACAAGGGTTCATTTCAGTTCCTAGCACACACATGATGGCTGATAACCTTCAGTAACTCCATTTTCAGGGGGTCCAGTGTCCTTTTCTGGCCTCTACAAACACCAGGCACACAAAAGTACACTTACATACATGCATACAAAACACTCACACACATAAAATAGAAATAAACATTGGAAAAAAAGACAACTTAAATGAACTCTTTTATGTTACATCATTATTTACCAAATTTTGAAGGAGCTTTGCCTAGAGTGGTTGCCAACAGTGAGGTCTCCTTCTCCATCCCTTTTGTTCCACAGCCATTACACAGAGGGATAGCTCCAGGTGCAGATTGAGTACTTGGAGGTGGTATATTCGGCCAGATTTTAGCAGCATCAATTATACTATTTCTTCCTGACTGTTTTATAAAGGAAGAAGTTTTAGGCACATCAATAAAGAACTCAGATTCATATATAACTGAAAACACCATCCAAAGCCTTTTATCCTCCTACCCAATAGCCTCAGATAAATTGTATTTTCAAATAATCTTTATCAGAACTACCAGCCACTAATCCAGTCTCAACTGAAGAAGCAACCTGAAATGATCAGAGACCTGTTCAAATACTGAGTCCTTTCAACCTGGACATGCATTTGCTATGAAGGAGACCTTGGATGCAGCTCCCATAAATGACAGAAAAACCTTCCTTTGAACATTTGTGTGAAAGAGTCCAAGTTTCACGTTCCTCATATTACAAAGAAACAATGTATAGTTACTGTTCTGCCATGAAAGGGTGAGTGTATAAGCTGAGTTTAAGTTATAAAAACTCGACCAACTCTGTCCTAGAGAAAAATGAAACAGATAACAGACTCTGCAAACAAAGCTGTCCTGTAGGACATGGTTTTCTTGTGACCAGAGGCTCTAAAGGCACAAGCTACACACCTAACTCCACTGTACTTTTCTGGATGGTCTCCCATTTTACCCTTTGCATCTTTCAGTATCAGACGAATGGAGCGTGATCTACATCATAAGAATCTTCAACCCTATGCACAGTAAAGACATGGCAAGATAAAGCCATTTCTAAATAGAACCTCAAACTTCATTACCTGGCCCCAAGATAAAGAATAAAAGATACATACCTTGTTTAGACAGTCTTCACAGTAAAGTGAGCCCTTTAAACAAACTGGAGGTGCCACATTTAGGTGAAGAGAATTGGTGCACAAGTGAGATGTGAGCTCTGACTGGGAAAGGCGATCTTCCAAACGCCCGCGAACCCCACTCGGGAAATCAGAACAGGGGAAATAGCCAGCAGAGGTGCAGCCCTGGAGAGTCGGGAACTGATGCAGCTTGTGTATGTTACTATGACATGACTGAAAGTGGAGCTTCCCACAACATGGTAGATGCTTGCAGGAAGGTAGGCTACTCTCTACACACATGCTGGGAAAGTCATTCGCAAGGCCCACCAAGTTGTTCCTAGTAGAGGCATTCTGCAGTGAAGACACAGACTGGAAAGCAAACCCTGACCCTACTTGACACGTGACTGTTCTGGCGCTTGGTGAGTCTAAGAGCGAGCCTGTGTGAATCAAGCTCCCAGAACCTCCACTACTGCCACCACCACCACCAAAACGCATGGGGGAAGTGGAGGGTTCATTAGGGCAATGAACACAGCAGCTTACTTTGGGAACAGCTGAGAGCTGTACTTTTGGTTGCTGAAGGGAATGAATATCAGGAAGTGGAACTGCTGGGAAAAGTTTAGAGCCAACATGAAGAGGAGATGGTATATCCTTTAACTCCACCGCAGCTTTCTTGTTCTCCATGTACTCTTTCTGAGGAGAGATGAAAACACAAGTCAATTTTTGGAGACCACTGTATTTTTTCTCTCATACACTACTGTGTTAGAAAAAACAGAAAACAATGTTCAACTCTTTTTTAATAAATAAAATTCAACTTCTTCTTTTTAAGATTTATTTATTATGTATACAATGTTCCTCCTGCCTGTACACCTGACACCACAAGAGGGCACCAGATCTCATTATACATGGTTGTGAGTCACCATGTGGTTATTGGGAATTAACTCAGGACCTCTGAAGAATAGCCAGTGCTCTTAACCTCTGAACCATCTCTCTAAATCCAATTCTTTTTACATCACTCAATCATAACTGAACAAATATAACAGTATCCAGTTAAGACCAGGAACAATCTTCAGAGGTCTTGCAGGAAGGGAACACAGAAACATACAACTAAGATTAATGTTACTTCTATCAAAATCTTAAGATGGCTCAGCAAGCCAGGTTAACCACTCATACCTCTCTTGCTTCAAAGCACTGTCTAAAGAAAACTGGGATATGCAAACAAAGATTTCACAGCATTCAAGGAAGGTGGCTTATAAGCAAGTAGCTTCCTTTTATTTATTCCTGTAGGTGGTGAATAAAGGGTTTTAGTGGGGTTCTCCTTAAAGGAGAGTGATATTCCAAACACTATGAATGAGGCCAGCCACCTGCCCAAAGTGGCCCAGCTGTGCTGCTGATAGAACTGAGGAAACACTGAGGCCTTAATAGTCTTTATACTGTGGCCAGTGCAAAGATACAATGATTAGAACTATCCATTCTCAGTTCAAAACCCAGCACCACCAAAAATGAAAAGAAATAATATACTTAACACCTACAAGAAATCCTGAACAAAAAGGTATCGTCAATCTTTTCTAATTTACGAGACTTAAAACTAAGAGGGTGAGTCAGGAACAATGGTCACACCTGTCTGTAACTCTGCACTTGGGAGGCCAAGGCAGAAGGATCACAAATTCAGAGTCAGCCTGGACTATATAAGAAAAACTTACCTCCAAGTTTGCTGGTCATAGGCCAAATTCACTTAAGAAAGCTATAAATACAATTTGTTTTAAACTTTTCATTGTTTTTAATATGCAAGCTTTAGAATTTGGGGCTTTAATAAGAAACCAAATTTCCAGCCAGGTGGTGGTGACGCACGCCTTTAATTCCAGCACTCGGGAGGCAGAGGCAGGTGGATCTCTGTGAGTTCGAGGTCAACGTGGTCTACACGAGCTAGTTCTAGGACAGGCTCCAAAGCTACAGAGAAAACTACTCTCAAAAAAACAAAAGAATAAACCAAATTTCTCCGGATTTTAAATGATTAAAACTTCTGTTACTCAGAGAGAAGTACAGAGTTGAGCAGGTGATCATAAAAATGTGCAGATATAGTGCATAATAGTGCAGAGGTGATATAGGCGGGAGAGAGACTGCCCCAGATCACCTGTACCCATCATCTATTCACAGCGTGCTGTATCTTGAACATACTTACCGTTTGGGGATTAAGAGGCAACGTTTGATCAGGATGAGAAAAACAACCAGAGAATTTCCAAAGCCAAGGCTTAGCATCCTTATCTTGGTGAAGCCATCCAAGTGTTCTGCTGCAAGGGTTCTCAGTTCTGTTCCCTTCCATCACATAGCCAGACAATGTGGTTCAACATTCTTTCATCTTTCTTTTCCGTCATTCTTCCACCCTGTTAAAAAAGTTGTCTTAGTTAGGGTTTCTATTGCTGTGACAAAATACCATGACCAAAAGTCAAGTTAGGGAGGAAATTTGGTTTCTTATTAAAACCCCAAATTCTAAAGCTTGCATAGTAAAAGCAATGTTTACACTTCACCATTGCTGTTCATCGCTAAAATAAATCAAGACAGGAACTTAAACACAGCAGGATTCCAGAGGTAGGAACTGATATGCAGGCCATAGAGGAGAGCTGCTTACTGGCTTGCTTCCCATGGTTTGCTCAGTCTACCTTCTTATAGAACCCAGAACCAGCAGTTCAATGAAGGAACCACCCACCATGGGCTGGGCCCTCCACCACTGATCACTAAATGAGAAAATGCCTTACAGCTGGATCTCACAGAGGCATTTCCTCAGCTAAGGCTATTTCCTCTGATGACTTTGGTTTGCATCAAGTTGACACACAAAACCAGGCAGTGCATAAGTCAAAATCTATGTTACTTCTTACACAAGTACACATTTTATAATGTTAATATATGAGATCACAACATGATACAATGGCTCTCACGTTCAGACCTTAAAGAACAAAGGCAGCATGGATATTACAGCTCACTACAAGATACTAAGATTTGGTAAACTTGGTTGATTCTAACTATTTAAATTTGATTTAGAGTGGTGGCACACACCTTTAATCCCAGCATTCAGGAAGCAGAGGCAAGTGGATCTCTGCGAGTTCAAGGCCAGCCTGAGACATCTACAAAGCTAGTTCCAGGACTGCTAGGGCTGTTACACAAAGAAACATTGTCTTAAAAAACTAACAAAGCAAAACAAAGCAAATTGATTTAGAAATAAAATCTATGATCTGAGGCTGGGAGATAACTAAGAAAAGTATTTGCTACACAATGATGTGGACCTGAATTCAGATCTCATTCTTATAAAAGACAGGCATACAACTATAACTCCAGCATGGGAGAGGCAGAAACAGACAGACCCCTAGAGTTCAATGGCTACTCTGCCCAGCAAAAATCAGTCAACTCCAGATTCAGTGAGACTACCTCAAAAAATAAGGTAGAGGGGCCAGTGACAGGGATCAGTAAAGGTGATTGCCTCTAAACCTGACAACCTTGGTTCCACTCCAACATATCAGAGAGAATTGACTCCCACAAGCTATCTTCGAACCTCCACATTTATGCTATAGTATGTATGCATATATACACATACACACACAAAATAAATAAATGCAATTTTTAAAAAATTAAATAAAGTGGGGCTAGAAAGATGGCTCAGCAGTTAAGATCACTGGCTGTTCTTCCAGAGGTTCTCAACCACATGGTGGCTAACACATGGTGACTAACAACCACCTATAATGGGATTTGATACCCTTTCCTGGTATGCAGGTACATACGAATAGGGCACTCGTATGCATAAAATACACAAATAAATCTTTTTTTAAAAATTAAATAGAGAATGATGAGGAAGATACCCAGCATACAACTCAATACATATATCTACATATGTGCAACAGCATACACTCCTACATGAAAACATGTACATATACCACACAAACCATTTATTATCTGCCATTCCTCATATCCCAGTTTTTTTTTTTTTCTGTGTGTGCAAATGAAGGAGGGCAAAAGGATCCTCTTACATGTGTGTAAAGGTTGGAGGTCAGTCTTGGGTGTTTTCCCTAATCTACTACCTTTTCTTCTTCCTCCTCCCTTTTTTTTTTTTTTTTTTTAAGGATAGGGGTTCTCATTGGACCTGGAGCACACCAGTTTGGCTAGACTGGCTGTCCAGCGAACACTGAGATCCTCCTGTCTCTCCCTCCCCAGCTCTGGGATTACAAGTACATGTTATTACCTCACCCAGCTTTTAAAAAGAGGTGCTGAGGACTGAACTCAGGCCCTCATGCTTGTGCAACAAGCACTTTACCTACTGAGCCACCTCCTCAGTCACTAGAGCTTCACACATGAAGATGGATTATAGATTTATTTATTTTTAAGACACAGTCATGCTTGAAGGACAGAGACAAATCATGGCCTCTGCATATCTCTCGGGGAGAACTCTCCCTCTTCACTCAGCCGAAATAACCCTCCAGGCTCTAAGCAGACTTTTTCTATAGTTTTTCTCTATTTGTTTTGTTTTTTCAAGACAATGTTCCTCCATGTAGCACTGATTGTCCCTAAAGTATGTAGTTTGGGCTGGACTCGAACTCAAGAGATCTATCTGCCTGCCTCTGCCTCCCTAATACTGGGACTAAAGCATGGGCCATCATACTTGGCCTAGAGTTTTTCTTAATTTTCCTATCTCTTCCTATAAATTCTGCTTAGGAAAGCAGAGACGTTAACAGTAAGGAGAACCTAATGTAAGTAAAAAGAAAAAACACAGTATTAACTTTCCTATGCCCCTGGTATAAGCAAAGAAAGGACAAGTTAAGTGACCTCTGAGGACTTTGAACTCTATTGTACCAGAGAAGCCATCCAATCGATTTCTTGGTTTGTTTATAATGAAAAGTGCAATGTAACAGACTGGGTCGCCAAACATCCAGCAATTAAGAAAGTCACAACTCACAGATGTACTTGACCCCAACACGACCACATTCAGGGTCCTAGTACACAAAGGCAAAGCCAATGCACACTTATTGGGCAGAGATGAAGCTAGCAATGGTGAGAACAACCAAACCTTATTGTAAGTCCTCACCACAGCAGCCATTTTCAGTGATTAGCAGAAATTTCATCTGTGCATGTAGAAAATAATTTCTTTCAGCTGTATCTCTGATAAGATGCTTCTAAGAGATTTTACATCTCTGTGACAGGGTGAGGGGAGAATGGTTCAAAATGTATTTCAAGTCTGGGTGGACTGATCATATAAAGAACTAAACTATGGTCTGCCAGCCAAAGCCAGTCTGCTACCTTATATGCATGTGTATGTTTGTGTATGTCTACCTAGTGATTCTTGGACAGGATACAGGATATGATTCTGTAATCTTGAAGGCTGGCCTCAAACTTTTAACAACTTTTTTTTTTTACCTCAGCCTTTTAAATGCTGAGATTACACACCTGTATTTAAATGTTCTGTGAACTAAAAATATATTTTGGATATTTTAAATTCCTGAGAAAGTATTCTTAAACACGAAATTCAAACTTTAGTATCCATAAAGTTCTACTAGGGCACAGCTATACGCTTTCATTTAAATATTAAATCTATGGTTGACCTGAATTGTAATTGAGACTTGAGTCTTTGCCACATAATCTGACGGCAAAGCCCAATATTTTTATATTTACTATTTAGCCAGTGTGCTGAAACTATAAAATTTAAGTTTCTGTTGGGGGGGGGGAGTGCGTGTATGGAACTTAGTGGCATATGGAAGGTTCTGGATTTGATCCCAGACAAAAAGAGGGGGAGGGAAGGAGAAAAGCAGGGAGAGAAAGTAGGAAGAAAGAAAAAGATATTTGTTTCTTTGTCTGTATACTGTCTCTATCTGCCATAGCATTATAGAAAATGAATTAAAAATACACACACTGCCCATTTTCACCACTGTATCTTGTCGCCAGCCTATTCTGTGGTAATCACAAAATAATTATTTGTTGAATGAAGAAATTAGCAGAATTAACCTAGTACACACTTGAAAATAATTTGGAGACAAGGTTAACTGCTATCATTGTTTGAATTACAATACGTGCTGTTATTACTAAATCCAGGTTGTGCCAGGTGGTGGTGATGCACACCTTCAATCCCAGCACTTAAGAGGCAAAGGCAGGCAGATCTCTCTAAGTTCGAGGCCAGCTTGGTCTACAGAGCGATTTCCAGGATAGCCAAGGTTACACAGAGAAACCCTATCTGGAAAAACCAAAACCAACCAACCAACCAAACAAACAAACAAAAAATCCAAGTTGTATATCATCCAAAAAGCTCCTCTCTTAGTCATAAGAACTTCTGAGGCTCATATTGTTTATAATTTCAGCATGCTCAGACCTTTTCAAAGCCAAGTGAACTACGACTTCTAACAATTCACTGAGAAACAAGAAACTTAATAGTTTCATAGCTAGCTTGAGGTCAAAAGGCTCACCTACCTCTTTCTACTACCATCAACACTGCTCAGTCAAAGAACCAGTAGTACTGGCACACATCTACAATTCCAACACTCAGGAGGCAGAGACAAGATATCTGCAAGTTGAAGAGCAGCCTGGGCTACATAGACTTAGTCTCAAAAAAAGTTTAAAATTAATATATATAGGTGTTGTTGGTACATTTTTTTAACTCTTACTTTGGGGTCTTGCCACCCAGCTCCCAAATAGACACAGGGAATCTTATTCTTTCTTATGGATGCCCGGCCTTAGCCTGGCTTATTTCTAGCCAGCTTTTCTAAAATTATCCAGTATACCTTTTGACCTTTACCTACCTCTATTTCTGTATATTTTTTCTTTACTTCTTACTCTGTGGCTTGCTGTATAGCTGGCCCCTAGAGTCTTTCTCTCCTTCTCTTGCACCTTCAGCCTCCCTCCCCAGATTTCTCTTCCTATTTATTCTCTCTGCCTGCCAGCCCCACCTTTCCTTTCTCCTCTCTTTCTATTGGCCATTCAGCTCTCTTTTAGACCAATCAGGTGTTTCAGACAGGCAAAGTAACACAGCTTCACAGAGTTAAACAAATGCAACATAAAAGAATGTATCATATCTTTGCATCATTAAACAAATGTTCCACAGCATAAACAAATGAAACACATCTTCAACTAATATTCCACAACATAAAAGGATATATATAGATTACTCTCGGTACAAATAAATAAAAGGAAAAGTATTAGTGACCTGTACTCTAAAATTTGCCCAAATATTCCTAGTTCCATTAGGCATCTGAGCTAACCAAAGGAAGCTCTGATGTGAGAGTCTTCCCTTCTGATACTCTCTTTGTCTTTGATCAACTTAGACACAAGCTGAGAACGCACTGCATGCTTACTGGGCCCTAAGGCCATCTCCCCACTGTGTAGCTATGGGCAACTCATCTTTCTTAACCCAAGGCCCATCTTCTGTAAGTCTGACAATCATGGCAACCCCCTTACTTACAGAGTTATTTGTGGTTTGGTGACAAGAGATGAATTATTTCTCAAATGGCCTTCCCCCTGCCACAAACTCCCAAACCGTGCTAATCCATTTTACCGGTTCTGTGTATTTTATTTTTCTACCTTTTATCTAAAAATGACATTATTTATTGGTGTTTTATTATTTTTCTTCCCCATTAGAATATAAATTCCATGACGATATTGACTGCTATTTTCTGCTGTATCCCCTGAACGTAGCACTCCACTGTGCCTCGCAAGTATCAACAAATGACCGCTGGACAAATGTAGAGCTCACTAACTGTGAAGGAAGATCATTTAGCTGTTTCCTTGTATACAAAACAGGAGGATCCTGGAAAGTCCAGAAGATACGGCTAGTACAACTAGAAAGCTCTTCGTTACACCAAAAGAAAGTTTGGCAAACTCTAAAGGCCAACACGTTCGTGCTAGAATTAACGGGGGGAGCGGCTGATACTGAAGCTGAATCCAAAGAGGCTAATAAGAGACGGACCGCTCTGGAAGGCTGCAAAATACAAAAAACAAACAAGCTAAGGGACGCAACTCCATCACTGTCCCTTTACTCTCAACTTCCTAACTTTGCACAGCCGGCAAAGGTTGTTGCTTACACCTGAAGGGCCCGGGAGCAAGCAGGGAAGCAGGCGCCGGCGGGGAGCCGAACGCCCCAGAAGACATCGGGATGGTATGGGAGACCGATCTTTTCGCGCGGTTCCTTTGGCGGGTCCCGGACCCCAGCAGCATCAGTCTGGGGAAAAGGGCGCTGTTCCCGGGCCAGTTGCGCTGCTGGCCGAACAACCCGAGCGCCCGAGTAGAGTCCCGGAAATGACAGAGGACTTACCTTAGCCGCCAGCTCCTTCTCCGCTCACATTCCGACCCCGCCGCCTTCCCCCCCGCCCCCCAGGCCCTTTGTTTTGATTCCCGACTCCGCAGCTCCCGCCGCCGCCGCCAAGCGCACCCTTCACTTCCGCTTCCGCTTCGCCCCTCCTCTGTCGCAAAACCCGTACGCTTCTCGTCTACTAGGCCCGCCCCTTTCCCCGTTTCCCCCACCCACGTCTTCCAATTATCACATCCTTCCTCAGCACCGCTCCTATAACCACGCCCCTGCCCCGCCCATTCCCGCCCCGCCTCCGTCTTGTCCTATTCCTTGCTCCTCTAGCCCCGCCCACTCCCCCTTCCGCTTTTTCATTCCTCGGTTTAGCTCCACCTCTTCCCTCGTCTCGCCCCTTTTCTTCCGCCCCGCCCTCGCCTCGCGTCTTCTTCGCGCCAGGCACGATGGGAACTGGGGGGGGGCGGGGCCTCGCGGCCCTGCGGCCTCGTCAGGCTCAGTCCCCTCCCGATAAACCTCTAAATAGGGCCTTTCCCCGGGACGGCCCCGGTTATTTTTGATCACGAACATCCAGTTTAGGAGTCCTCCCCGCTGGCTTGATGACTCCAGGTCGTATGGAGCCTCCAGGCGAAGAATTGGGGAACTCGTGTGATGGAGACGAGAAAAAGTCTGCCAAATGGGGTTTGCTAGGGTCTAGCTCTTAAGGTCTTGCGGAGGAAGACGAAGGAGACAAGAGTTCTGTGATATACGGCGTTGTGGTGGCTTTTCTAACGTTCTGACTCGTCACGTGATAGTCCTGTTTTATTTTTACTAATTGTGTATGTTACACAACACATCTTTTAGTGCAACCTAGTGGCGAGTGGGGAAAGAATAGTAAAACCCGTCAAATGAGCTCTGGCAAGGTCCTTCCTACCGAGTTTCGTCCAACTGGTGCCGATAAACTACACGCCAAGACTGCTGAATATTGTCACCAGCGATAAAGAGTACAGGATAACCTACCCCCCCCCCGTTTTTTTTTTTTGTGGAGGCTGCATCTCACTTGTAATACCTGGTTGGCCTGGAACTTGCCATTTAGACCAAGCTGGCCTTCTCAGTGCTAGGATTAGAGTCGTTTGTCTCGCCTGGCAAACTTTTCATTTGAATAAACCTGGTGCTTTGTTTCAAATAAACACTTTTTAGGTGACAGGTTGGGAACGAAAAAGAAGACATTAAAGTTATAAAAACTTAGTAAAACCAAATTGTGAACTACCATATGGGTGCTGGGAATATGAACCAGGATCAACTGGAAAGAGCACTAAGTGCTCTTAACCGCTAAGCCATCCAACACTTTCTGTTTTAAATGCTTAAACCATGCTCTGTATTGGCTCCCCTTCTCAATTGAGCCTCACAGTCTTCACTTTTACTTGGCCTAAATATCAGTTGGAACTTTTTGTTATTCTTTGCTTTTTGAAACAGAGTTTCTCTGTGTAACACTGGCTGTCCTGGAACTCACTCGGTAGGCCAGGCTGGCCTTTAACTCAGAGATCTGCCTGCCTTTGCCTCCCAAGTGCTAACATTAAAAGGCTGTGCCACGATGCCTGGTTTAATGTTTTCAGGAGGGGGAAATTTCTGAAATCACCAGCTGTTTACTATTTCCTGTTTCAAATTAGGCTAAAAATTTATTATCTAAAGACACAGTTTAGAATGTGCTGACTGAGTAGTACTTTTAAATAGTTTCTACTTAAAAGTCTGCCAGGGAGCCGGGTGTGATGGCACATGCCTTTAATCCAGCAACAAATGAAATTTGCTAACTAATTAGGAAGCATAATTGCCAGGAACATTTTTCTTCCCGAGTCTCCAGGTATGCAGTGCTTTCGTTGCTCTACTTGCATGAAGTGGGATGAAGACCATGTAGCTTTCAGTAAACCTGGATCAGGAGAGCGAGACATGTAACTAAAGAATCCTTTATTTCCACTGGACTCTCCAGAAGGCACACCCTAGGTGTTTGTTATTGCTAAGAACAACATTGTGTCTGTGTGTAGGCAGAATTTTTCCAAGGGAGAATTAAAATTGATGAAAAAGATTCTAGTTGCTGTTTGTTTTGTTTTTATTTATTTATTTTTCCATTTATTTACTGTTTTTTTTTTGAGACAGGGTTTCTCTGTGGTTTTGGAACCTGTTCTAGAATTAGATCTTGTAGACCAGGCTGGCCTACTAACTCACAGAGATCCGCCTGCTTCTGCCTTCCAAGTGCTGGGATTAAAGGCGTGCACCACCAGCTCGCTTTTATTTTCAAAGTCTCAAACAAGTATGTTATTCTTTGTAGGTGTTTCTTTTGCCTCCATTTTATTCTAGCTATTTCTGAATACTGACAATATTAACTAAAAATATAAAAAAGGAAAGAAAGTAATTGTAATGTTTAATTATTTGAACAAGCTTTAGCCACAAAACATAAAAGAGGGAAGACATTTTCCTTTGACTTTGCTTGACATTTTTTTCTAGTCAAGAAGTAGGCTAAGGTCAACAGTTATTGTAAGAAATAAAGCCAGTCAAGTAGACTAAATGAAAGGCCTAAGAAAATGAGAATCATAAGTACTTTTAAAAGCACACAATTTAGAGCTGGAGAGTGTCACAACCAAAAAGACTCTACTTTTTCTACAAACTAGGCCAAGGACTGAAAAAATAGCCAGTAGATCTTCTGAAGGATGGGGTGTCGGTGGTGATGAGGTATTTCATTCTGAGTGTCCAAATGGCTTAGAGTAGTCTGTTGAGTCCAGTTCAGGATGATCTGACACCTTTTTTGTCTTCCCTGGGCACTGCACACACATAACACAAGAAGGAGACCACATCCCTCTGTACATCAAGGGTTCCCTCCCTGACCTCAAATTAAGCACAAACTACATCCAAGCACCTGTTTTCACAGCAAAGTCCTTTATAGGCAGAAAAACAGCAGCAAATGACCTTGCATGTGTGGTTTTTAAGAAGAGGCAAAGGGCGGTCTGTGTTAGAATGGGCTAGGATGCCGTAGTATATTTTGATTGGGCATGTTAATTAGGTGATCCAAAGGGGACTTCTGATTGTTGGACTTTAACACTTTGATAGATGATTGGTATTTGAAAGTTTCCTGAAAAACACTGAGGGAGGGGTGGCAGTGGGGCTACTAGAAAGATGGCTCAGCTGTTAAGAGCACTGCCTAGTCTTCCAGAAGACCCAAGTTCAGTTCCCAGCACCTACATGGAGGCTCATAACCTAGTTTCCATGGAACCCAATGTCCTCCTCTGGTTTCTGCAGTCATCAGGCATAAATGTGGTATACATACACACAGGCAGCACATCCACACACATAAGTTAATAAATAAATGGGAACACACTTCTTCAGTTTGTTTGATATAGATAGGCAGTGGTGTTCCTGTGTGTGCCTTTGAGTTCTTTTAATGAACTATGGAGGAGTCACGAAAGAATTAAGAGATAGGTCACCGTAATAGGAGATAGGAATGGGCAGAACATTGTAAGGATACACAACAACAACAAAACCAAAAGAACACCGCTGTCTGAAAGCTCCTTTTGTTAGTTACAAATCAAAATACCATTGGCAACTTACTGGATTTCCTGTAGCTTTATTTTCTCATCTTTTAAACAACTATAGGATGCTGGGATATAGCTCACTGGTACAGTGCTTGCTTAACATGGCCAAGGCTCTAGATTCAAGACCAGCATTGCCCCAAAATGTAAGATCATTATGCTTTTTTGTGACTCACCAGTCTATCAAACAATAAAGTTTGGCATCTGAAATTGTGTATATTTTTACTGTGTTAAGCCTTTGAGATCAGATTTTTTGGTTTATTCACCGGGTTGTAAGATTACCTTGTGCCTAATAGTACTCAATAAATATATTAGTGAACAATTAGGTTGTTTGCTGTCAAGAATTAGGTAGGCCTAAGATCTCAGCAAAAAATAAGGCTGAGGCAAGATGTTCAGGAATTCGAGGCCAGCCTAGGCTACAAATGGAAAAAAAAACAAAAAACAAACACAAAACCAACAGAGGGCTAAGACGATTCAGTTGGAGGAGCACTTGCCTAACATGCCTGGAACCTTGCTTCCATCGCCAGCACCTCATAAAATCTTCAAGTTGGCACACACCCACACCCATAATTCCAACTCAGGACGTGGGCAAGACTACCAAAAGTTCAAGGTCAGCTATATAAGAAGTTAGAGGCCAATCTGGACAATATGAGACAGACTCAAAAGACCAGCGCCACCCTCACCTCCCCACAAAAAAACTTAGCATTGTGCCTGAGACGCATGGTCGTTTAACTAAATAAGATATTGTACTTACTATTTACAAAGCACCCCACATTGTTTTACAACTTGTTTAGCCATGAGCAAAACCCATTTTATCCACGAGCAATTAAATAACTTGTCCAATATCACACAGCTAATAAGGGGGAGGGATAGAATTCAAAGACAAGTTCTTCTACACTAAATTAAGCTGTCGCAGAAGAAGTTATTGTTAAAGATTCTATTTAGGGTGTAAAATTGTGGGACGAACAAGGGCCCTGTGGGCTGGGCGAAAGTTTGTTGTTTTCTATGCCAGTTTTGTCTCAGTGTTTTCTAGCATTTCTGGACTTGGGTAGGGCGCTTTCAAGTGTAACCCGATACCAGGTACTCCTAAAGCCCGGGATTCTTCGACCAACTGCACCTTTGTCTCTTCTTGAGCAAGAGCAAGAGCGGATAAAGGCCACCAGTGTGAAGGAGAGGCGTGCGGGTGCGTGGCACCGCGTGCACGGAGCCGCCTGCAGGCCCTCTCCACACCCGTCTTCCTGGCCAGCAGCCCGCACCTCCCGCGCCCCCTCCCGCCCGACACCACAGTAGCTTGGAGGCGACGCGCCCGGGCCTTGGGGGGAAAAAGTTTCCAAACCTCGCTTCTCGGCGCTGATTGGCCGAGCCAGACGCGTCCCGGGCGCGGCAGCCAATGGGAGACGCGGGCAGCAAGGTGCGGACGGGGCTGGGACCGCGGTCGGGCCCTGCTGGCCCGCGCCTTGCCGGGGATCGTCGTCGCCCGGGCAGGGTAAGTGAAGCCAGGTTGCGGCCGGGGCCTCCCACGTCCGCAGCACCCGGCGGACGCGTCCCCCAAACTTGACCACCAGCTTTCCTCCTTCC